TCGATTCTATGTAGCCTGGTTACTTCTCACGCACATTAAGAGATTGGAGACTTCAAAAACGCGTCCCAATACCCCAGTCCTGACCCCAAACCTATATCGGATAATTGTTACAACTAGTCCGTGCTTTCAAGCAATTAAAGTCTGTAAACAGCGGTTAAAGTGCCCCCAGATTCTTCTGTGCCTTTCAAATGCTGCCCCAATATAATTAACTTGAAATCGGTGAATACCTTTAATAACAAGTAACAGACACTTCAAATCAAATCTCGAACATGAATCAGGAAAATAGAACTTGCCGGGTACCGGAAACGGAACGTTGTTAAGGAACATAACGTAAATCTTGATACAGGGTATAATGAACGTATAGGGAACGTAAAGGAACGGTTTTCTGCCAAAATAATAGATAAAACTAAATAGCTTATATGGCACAATTAATCAAATATAACAGCATTACCATTTTACAAGCAATAACAATTTACAGCAATTAGCAGATAACCAAATATCACAATTATGTACAGATTAAATCACATAGGATAAAATAGCATTCACAATACTAAAATACAGAATAAATGATACAAGATAAAACAACATTTACATACCGAATGTTTAGGATCTCCAGGCAACTCAATTCAACAAATTATAATCCAAAGTAAATACAACTTACTTTATGTGACTAAATACAAAGAACAGCAGTTATCATTTTATTTGGACTCTAATACAACCCTAACTTGAATCCCTGCATTATATTACAACTCCAGTATGAACCCTCGATTTTGAACCCAATTAATAATTTCAATCCGAATCGATTATCCTGACCGCAAATAGTAAACCCAATATTAAACACGATAAACAACTCCTAGCGCAATAGATTACACTGGATACAAGACAGAAGGTGCCAACTCATCGGAGCAGCGTGGCAATAATTTAGAATTCCCGGGAATAATCGAGAAACAGGACTATGTCGCAATAATGCTGCGTCGATACGTTCGCAACGTCTGCGTAACAACGTAAAACTTCATCAAATTAGAAACACGTTATGATTGTAGTACACGTTATGTCCCCAGATGTAGGAACGAAGAGAATACATCTTACAAATAAAAAAGAAAAAGTGAGAATCATCACAAATAAGTAATACGACTAACAATGAATTACTCATCAGCTTTCTGAATCATACAAAGTTTTGCTATTGGTCTTCTTAAAAACCCATGAGAAGTTTTGAAAGTCACTTGTCTGACAGCTCCAAATTCGTCTGGTATAACTTCCATAATTCTGCCAGTCAGCCACTTCTCTCTTGGTATTGTGTTGTCAACCAGTAGCACAAGATCACTGACTTTGAAATTGTCTTCCTTCTTCAACCATTTATGTCGAGTACTTCTCTGGACCATCTTATCCAGAATTGGTCAGCCAAATATTGTATTTGACGCCATCTTCTTCTCGCATACCAATCTTTCTTGTCAAATATTTCTGGTGGTAAATTTGCTTTATGCTTCAGCAACAATAAATGATTTGGTGAAAGTGGTTCTTCATCCAAAGGATCCATACTAATAGGTGTAAGTGGTCTTGAATTCAATTGACTTTCAACTTCACAAAATATTGTAGACAAGGCTTCATCAGTAACCAATTGACCATGCAATAATGCAGTCAATATCTTTCCTGCTGATCTGATGAGTCTTTCTTAGAATCCTCCAAAGTGTGAAGCTGTGGGAGGATTGAACTTGAATGTAACATCACTTTGTCTGCAAAATTCTCCCATTTTACTGGTATTCCAAATTTGAATTTCCTTCTTCAATACTTTATTTCCAGCGGTAAAATTGCTCCCATTATCACAAATAATGGTTGACATCTTGCCTCTTCTGGCAATGAATCTTCTTAATCCATTAATAAATGAATTGACATCCATACCATGCACAATTTCCAAATGCACTGCTCTAGTTGTTGCACAGGTTATTATCAAGCCCCATCTCTTCACAGAACTTCTTCCTTGCTTCACCAAGAACGGTCCGAAGTTGTCAACTCCAACACACGTGGATGATGGTTGATCTGGTGTCACACGCTCTTTAGGTAGGTCAGCCATAAATTGCTTACCCATAGAGGCATTTCTCTTTTTGCAAAATATGCAATTACGAATAATTCGCTTCACAACAACAGCTCCATTGATGATCCAGAACTTCTGTCTCAGCAAATTCCACGTATGACTTGCCCCACAATGATGTGAACTTTTATGGTATTCTCTGACAATCAACATTGTGATATGATGGTTACTTGGCAATATTATTGGATGTTTCAAAACACAATCTATGGGTGCGTTTTACAATCTTCCACCCACTCTCAATATTCCATCAATTAAAACAGGATCAACTTTTGCATTGCAGGTGCAATTTTCAAATTTCTAAGCACACTTTTCCCTTGTACATCAGTGTTTTGTAACTTTGCAATAACTTTATTCGACTCACGATTTTGTAAATACTTTTACCCGCACACAAAGCGCAGCAGTTGTAATTTCCAGCCGTGGAAGTGAACATATTGTCTTGATAGGACACAATCTTGATTTTCCAAGTAAAAATGAACAGTGTATCTGACCGTTTTCATCTGTTAACCTCAAATATGAAACTGTTCCATAGGCAACTTGTGATGCATCGCCAAAAAATGATGTAATTCTTGTGAAACAATAACCCCAAATGAAATCGGTTTAATGTATCTTGGTAATTTAACTTCTGATAAGTCTGGAATTGCTTTAGTCCAGCTTTCCCATGCTATTTGTTCATTTTCTCCGATAGTTTCATCCCAACCCAATTGTTGACGACATAACTCTTGGAATATGAGTCTTGCTTGCAATATTACAGGTAATACAATACCCATGGGATCGAATACGGAACTTAGAATTGCTAGAACTTTAGCTTCAGCTTTGTATTAAATCCAAAGCAATCTTCTACCACAAACCATACAACTCCCAAAACTCTTTCAACACGATTTTGGGTCTAAATTTACATTTGCTTGAAGTGTGCTCTATCTTTTCTTGGAACACAAGAAATAATTTCTTCTGAATTACTTCTCCATTTGTTTAAATGAAAACCTCCGCATTCAGTAAGTTCAGAGGTTTGCTTGACAATTCTCTTCCCTTCAGATATACTATCTGCTCCAAGAAGGAAGTCATCTATATAAATGAATTATCTTTGATATTGTCACTTATGTCTGATGGAAAGTCTTTTCCAAAATCTTCTTCTGTTCTCCTTAAACAGTAATTTGCACAAAATGGACTTCATGTATTTCCAAAACAATGCACTAACATCTGATGATCAACAGGAGTTTTTGTCAAATCTCCATCGGGCCAAAATAGGAATCTCAATGCATCAACATCCCTAGGAGTTACACGAGCTTGTAAGAACATAGCTTCTATATCTGTAGTTATACCATATTTGTACATACTGAAACGTAGCAAAACAGATAACAATCCATTTGCCATATCTGGACCTTGCAGTAATTGATCATTCAGTGATGTGTTCATGTATCTTGCAACTGCATCAAATACCAGACGCACTTTTCCAGGTTTCTGTTCTGATGTAACTGGTTGACGAGGAAGATACCACACTTTACCAATGGGTCCTTTAAATTCAGCATCTGGAATTTTCCTTGCTCATCCTTTCTGTTTAAATTCAGCCATGGTACTGCAATATTTGTCTCTTAAAATATCATTCCTCAACAGGCGTTTTCCCAAATTGTTGGTTCTTCTCATAACTGCATCACGATTACTAGGAAATCCAGGTTTCCATGGTAGCGGAGATTGGTAATGTCAATCCACCATGTTTATATTGACTTCCATCAGTTGTAATGCATACATATCTTCTCTTGACAATGTTGATATATCTTTGAAATCTGATTCCCATATCTCTCTAACTTGTTGTTGAAGATCTTCTCTTTTCACTTCAACATGATTTACTTGTACATGAAAACTCTCATTTTCAGAAGTTTATTAAAGGCAGGCCCTACCAATGACCAACCAAGAATACTTCTTTTTGCAACTGGTTCATTTGTAGTACCACGTCTTTCATCTTTCACCCAAAATACTTCAGGTACATTCACGCCAATCATGAGCATCACTCTTTCATCTGGTAATTTTGGAAATTTGAACCCCTCGAGATATTCATGCCTTTCTAATTCAATCCTTTTAGGCAATTTATTCGGTACTGTCGGAATTTCATCCACAGTGAGTACACGATGTAATGTCACACAGCCTTCACCTTTCAGTGGTTTAACAGTTAAGTCAAGAGCGAATCCATCTTGTTTCTGTGGATTAGGTGTGTTTACAGTAGTAGTAATGGAATAACTCATTGGTTCACCATCCATCTCTGAGAGTTCCATCAATCTTTATCACATAGACAAGAAGTGCTTCCCTCATCTAAGAATCAGTAACTTCAATTTCTTTACCTTGAGCTGGGGACACTTTCACTGGAACTATATTCAAGTATACTCCAGCTGAATTTCTGGTATAATTTGTCAAGGTTGATTCCGATGTAGCAGTTTGAGTAGCGGAACTTGTACTTTGCTTTTTTCGCTTAGTATCTGCAACATTTCTATGAAGCATTCTATGATGTCTTCCACCACATCCTCTCTCAGTACATGCTGGATTCTTACGACATTGACGTGCCATATGGTCAATGTATAAACAGTTTCTACAGATATGAAATTCACGAATTGTAGCCTCGCGTTCTCATAACTGCATCACGATTACTAGGAAATCCAGGTTTCCATGGTAGGGGAGATTGGTAATGTCAATACACCATATTTATATTGTCTTCCATCAGTTGTAATGCATACTTAATTTCTCTTGACAATGTTGGTGTGGGAGTCAATGATATATCTTTGAAATCTGATTCCAATATCTCTCTAACTTGTTGTTGAAGATCTTCTCTTTTCACTTCAACATGATTTACTTGTACATAAATACTTTCATTCTCAGAAGCTTTATTAAAGGCAGGCCCAACCAGTGACCAACCAATTTTCTTTCAAAACTCTGGACAATGAATAAGAAGATGATCCTTTGAACAGATAACACATCTGTATCTATTTCTCACAAATGTACCATTTCTCTCGGTAGATTGTTCAGGTTTGCCATCACCACTTGTTGAAGTGGAATTTGCATGAATTTTCTTCTTTTGAGGGTGTTTAGCCTTTTCCCTCTCTTTATGAGCTCTCATAGCTTTGCCCATTGATGATTGAGCAGTAGTTGCTGCTTTCTTCACAAACTTTAACAGATGTTCAAATTTTAAGTCAATGTTTCTATTCTCATAATCTGCTGCCTCTTCCCATTTATTATGGTACTTTAGGGGTAATCTACATGAAAGTTGAGCAATATTGTCAAAATTATTTAGATCTGAATATTGCTTCCAATGCGACAGCGTTAGGTAACATTCTTCCATTTTATGAGAAAGATCCAGAAGACTATCTCGATCATCTGGTTTCAACATTGGACCATGTACTAACTCTTCCATATAAGTTCTAGCAATCAACAATGGTCGTCCGTAAGCATCTCTTAGAAGTCTCTTTGCTGAAGTTAATCCTTCTGTAGGAGGATATACAGAACATTGTCTAATCAACTCTCTTGCTTTTCCTTTGCAAAACTGCTGCAAATAGGTCAGTCTCAGATTGTCATCTGTAATCTTGTTTTCAATATTTATCTTGAAACTATTCATGAATCTTGTATATTCTTCATGAGAACCATGAAACGAAAGTAATTCAGGTTTAGGTAAATCTACCATGTCACGCATTGTAGATGCCATAGTAGCAAAAATTGAGCCAACATCCATCTCTCCCGTAATCACTTCCTGGACCGGATCCAGGGTTAATCTAACTTGTGGCTCTCTAAGAGGCACACTACAATTGGTTTGACCAACTTAAGATGTGTTTACTTCAGCTTGTGCTGCTTCACTTCTACCAATTGAGCTATCGGTGGTCTAGAGCAGGGCTACTCAACTGGCGGACCGCGGTCCGAATCCGGGTCTTTCGAGTATTGGATTTGGACCGCACCTAATTATTTATTTTGGATCATTAGCCCCACTTTTTGAATTTCCTATTATAAAATGACTTTCATAGTTTTGATTGTATATATACGAAAAGAACTATAACACCATAATAAACACTTTTAATCTGCTACTAATCATTAGTCGGTCGAAGAAGTGCTCGTTTAAGGATGCCGAAATATAATTTCTGGAAAGACCGGACCCAAATAATTTTGAAGTTTTGTTTGCGGACCTTCGACAAAAATAGTTGAGTAGCCCTGGTCCAGAGTTTATTTCTTGAAACTGGACTTCTTCATTGCGATTAGAGCCTATTTCCCATACTTCAGCCTCTACACATGCGGCTTGATATTCGTGTATAGCTTGTAATCGCCTTATTTCTCTCTCTGATGCTGATTTTATTTCTTGAGCTTTTCGCTTCTTTTCTTCGGCTTGCCTTTCTGCTTGCCATCTCATTTCTTCAGCTTGCTGGTTTATTTCTTAAGTATTTCGTTCAGCCTGTTCCAACTCTGACAGTTGCTTCATTTTTAATTTTGCAAGTTCCCTGACAGCAATTTCTTCAGTTCTCTTGCAACTGGAACTTGTACTTTTGTAACTCGATGCTGTCCTTGCAGATCGAGGTCTTGACATATTAGATGATTTTCTACTAGCTATAGATTGTGGTTTTGATGGAATATTCTCTACTATTTGTGTGCTTTCTTGCTTGGAAAGCCACTCTTCAACATGTGCCTTGAACTCTTCATATGCATAACTTTATCTCTGGAAAGATTCTTTAGCTACTCTTTGAGCCTCTTCATCTACTGGCAGTTCTGCAACATGTATTTCATAAGCTTTAGAATACTCCACAAATCTTGCTTTAATTTCTTTTACATGTGATTGTAGAATCTCCTTATTTCTTGGATTCAACATCAATACTTCTGCTGATCTATACTGACCATTGAGACCAGCTAATAAACTTTCCAGTTCTTCTTGTGAAACTGGTTTTGCAGCCATTTCGACTGTTAAGTGACTTTCTTCACTTAATCTAGGATCAATTGAAAAGTTTGATATCTTTCAATTGCTGCTTTCAAGAATCTGGTTTAATTTCGGAATAGAAAACTTCTGTTTTCCTACATTCGAAAACTTTATTGTTGCGCTCGATTCTATGTAGCCTGGTTACTTCTCACGCACATTAAGAGATTGGAGACTTCAAAAACGCGTCCCAACACCCCAGTCCTAACCCCAAACCTAAATCGGATAATTGTTACAACTAGTCCGTGCTTTCAAGCAATTAAAGTCTGTAAACAGCGGTTAAAGTGCCCCAGATTCTTTTGTGCCTTTCAAGTGCTGCCCCAATATAATTCAACTTGAAATCAGTGAATATCTTTAATAACAATCAACAGACACTTCAAATCAAATCTCGAACATGAATCAGGAAAATAGAACTTGCCGGGTACCGGAAACGGAACGTTGTTAATGGAACGTAACGTAAATCTTGATACCGGGTATAGGGAACGTATAGGGAACGGTTTTCTGCCAAAATAATAGATAAAACTAAATAGCTTATATGGCACAATTAATCAATATAACAGCATTACCATTTTACAAGCAATAACAATTCACAGCAATTAGCAGATAACCATATGTCACAATTATGTACAGATTAAATCACATAGGATAAAATAGTATTCACAATACTAAAATACAGAATAAATCATACAAGATAAAACAATATTTACATACCGAATGTTTAGGTTATCCAGGCAACTCAATTCAACAAATTATAATCCAAAGGAAATACAACTTACTTTATGTGACTAAATACAAAGAACAGCAGTTACCTTTTTATTTGGACTGTAATACAACCCTAACTTGTATCCCTACATTGTATTACAACTCCAGTATAAACCCTCGATTTTAAACCCAATTAATAATTTCAATCCGAATCGTTAACCTGCCCGCAAATAGTAAACCCAATATTAAACACCATAAACAACTCCTAGCGCAATAGATTACACTGGATACAAGACAGAAGGTGCCAACTCATCGAAGCAGCGTGGCGATAATTTATAATTCCCGGAATAATCTGAAACTTCTTAAACAGGACTATGTCGCAATAATGCTGCGTCGATACGTTCGCAACGTCTGCGTAACAACGTAAAACGTCATCAAATCAGAAACACGTTATGATTCTCGCTAACAATACTGACAGTTCCAAACTAAATTTCGAGGTCCATGGCCAAAGGGATTCAACCCACCTTGCCTCGTGATAAATCCGGCTATGATTCGAATCCCGTGGGGACAATTATGTGATGATTGGAATTATAGTTATATATATCAACTGTTCAGAATACAAGGTGTTACCATTCATGACTTCACGAGCTTGAACAATGATTTCTTATACTGGAGCCGCAGCACAGTAAATTATTCTGATGTCGTGTATAGCGGACTTAAGTTTCTTCCAAAATGACGACACAAAATTGAAATGAAAATATAGCCTAATATAAAATGTTACATCTATAATATATTTCTGAAGGTATACAAGGTAGTTTTGATTGCATCGAAATATAAATCACTATAATCACCTTATGCTTTGATGTTTTCAACAAATTAATAGGTCAAATGTTAAAGTATTACATCATAAAACTTGAAACATCCTTTCAGTAATGAGACTTGAAGTTTATGTTAAAATGGAATTATATATGGAAATTTTATATACAATACGACATCATATACAATTATAAAATCGTACATATGATTAACAGGTAATGCAGAAAAAGAATCAGAAGGTATTTTAATTTTTCAAAAACTTCATTAAATGCTCCGCCATCTAGTTCAAACATCAAAAGTCTATATTTACTGACGTCCATGGTTTTAAAAACGAGATGTGGTTTTATGTTGTTGTCCCTCGTTTCTACATTTTGTGAACGAAGTTTATCTGTCAGGGTGAAAGTTTGTGCCATAGCGTTTGTAGTTAAAGATAGACCCAGTACTAACATTATATCCAAATCTCATAGACTGCAATGAAAACTGTGTTGCAAGCATGTTCAATCCTGAGAGTTAATGTGATGGAAATCAATCACAGCGCCTTCATTGCGACTTGAGAGCAAATTTAAACCAAGCTAGAAGTCGGTTTTTCTTTGCACATTCTTCAACGTATTTTTCGTGAACAATGGGCACCTGTTGAATACAATTGATATCACATAACAGAAGAAAAACTGACAACGGTAAAGACATGATGGCGTCGACTATTGTGAATTATGGTGTCCACCATTAACTATAAACATAATATTAGAAATCAGAAGCATGACTAAAGTGCGTGCTGACGTGATCAATTGTGGTTAGGATTAGTACTATTGCGTTAGTATTCTCTTAACATTTCGGTTCGTTCACCAAGTAAAATGTTTCCGAAAGTTGTAAGAATCATGTTTTATTGTCTCATCATTTGCTAATATTTTGATTATTCTATCTCATGATCTATATTATGGTGTTTTTCTGGTCATTTTATATAATAATAACGAATGCTTTTTTTACCCCTCTTTGTTGTGCTTCGTTAATGATACTTTTGTTATGTGGTCCTTCCTTTGAGCAAATTACATAAACTTTTCGCCCATTTTTACCGACTATTTTGTCGCCTGAAAATACATAAAGGTTTGCAATGAAGAAGTAAAATTCAATATCAGATAGGTTTCATATAGTGTTTTTAGTGGGTAAGTAACTCATGATTTTTACAGTTTCACCTATTGCTTGAAAATTTAATGTCAGCCGTAAAAGTAAATAACAGAGAAATGCGATTCATAAAGCAATAATATTCATATTGTATCACCTAACACTTCGCGTGTATTTTCAAATGGAATAATTGGATTTTACAGATATTTACACAGAAGTATTGCCATTTCATGAACTGAAGTACACCTACCGAAAGTTCCTCCTAAACTTCGAATTATGCTTTCGAGGTCGTTTCTATTTGTATAGGACTCCGCTAGCACAAAGTAAACGTCTTCAAAAATCCTGCAATTGTAAATAAGAATTATTGTGTCGTAATCCAGATAGTAAATATATTGTTTTTATAAAAAATTATGCTTAAACTTTAGTTAATGTAATCGATATCGATATGAAAATAATTTAAAACTTCAAATGAATGTTTTGATGCATTCAACCCACCATGTTTCCATCACTTCGTTTTCATTCTGCAGAAAATAAGAAAATAATGAAACAAACAATATTCAAGAATACATGAATTTATTACACTAACATCGCCATCAAAAATATCGGAATAGACCATACAACTAACTATTTAATCTATTTTTTGAAATATTGCAATAAATATTGCATTGCAATATTGCATAACCAACTAAGCAGTTTTTATGTTTTGGAAATATTTATCATCGCAACGTTGGGTGTTTGAAAACATCACCCAGTCATGCACGGCGACAGCGACGCATCTGGAATAGACAAGTAGTGAAATACTCATTATGAGACGATTAGAAAAATACCAACATATAAAAAGACACGTATATTTTTTTCAAAGTTCAGCTTTATTCAGATGTCTTTGGTTGAATGCATTACCTTATGCAGGTCAAATCTAGCAAATCAGCTGCTACGAGTGCGATATATACTCCTGTAGGATTATGTTGTTATAAAAGTTCAGTTTCATTATAATGTTTGTTCAGCATGCAGTAAACTAGACTGAAAAAATTATTAAATATTTGCAGGCAACTCATACCTCATCATCAAATGCACATTCAGGTTGTTCTCCATATATGGCACTAGGAACCTCTGCCATTCGTGAATATTTGTGGGACCTGTTAAGTAAATATTGTATTCAATTTTGAATTGGTAAATATATAAATAGAATATTAAAATTATCACATCGCATCAACTCGATCGGACATAATAACGACTAGAGACAAACTATTATTATTATCATATTGTAATGGTAAGTTTCTATGTTTGGCTGCTCAGTGAACAGTCTGTTTGGGTATCATCCTGGTATTAACCCACTATTGAATTTTTTTCGTATGCTTTTTTTGACTCCATTTATTGGACATGTGATTTTTATATGAATCGCTTTGCTAAATCGCTAAGATGGAAAATGTTGCTATAAGACTATTTCTGTTGAATTGTTTTTTAGTTTTCTTTTGGACCCAAGGGTCTCTATTTTTCACTTCTAATTTTGCGCTTATATTACCACTACGTGGTATTTTGTCAGGGCAGCCAGCAATCTTATTGACAAATCCAGTGCTTAGCTGAAGCCTTTTAGCCACCGACGTGAATTGCTACGGTGGTGGACTTGCTTTGTAATTATGATTTGTAGAATTTGAGTGAACAGATAATATATTTATAGTTAAGGAATAACTTAATCAATCTAAATTAACCAAAAAATATAATCGGGATATGATTGGTCAATAACAGGAAATTTGTATTAAAATTTGGACAGTGTTAAATTTGCATTCCCAAGAAATCAAGAGCCCTTGTTGTTTCGAAATATTACTAATGCCCTCAATGCTCGATTTTCTATGTTTTCAGTCATCTACAATCGTAAAACAATTTTCATTCCCCCCTGATTTGTGGATTTGAAATTTGACCTCGGATGACAATGTCATCTATTATTAATCTAACATAAATACGAACTAGGCTCGCACGTAATTTACGGATTTACGGAATTACGTAATTATTTGGAGTTACGGAAGGGAAGTTACGAATTACGTAAAGTCGTAATTATTGCATTGAAACGAGCTTTCTTCAAAGCAGTCAATTTCGTCGATTGCGAAAAATGAAAGCTCAACAAGTAGAAGAAGTTAGAGTTCCGGTATTCGCAGCCGTTTTTCTCTCGTTTCTCTCTCGTTACGTAGGTGAAGGAAGGCATGACGCGTTGCCATTTACTAACCTATTATCAACTTATCTGGCATGGCCAATGTAAATTTTTTTTTTTTTTTTTTCTTTACGGATCAGAGTTTTTCCAGTCTCGGATCAGCGTCTTAAAGACACGTCATATCCGAGTCATATCGGTATCACGCTTCATAAGCATGCCACTGCTTAAGCAGCGGTCATACACATAAGGCGGCTTCCGTATCCGCCATGTATTGCAAGGCAAACACTTTCGGCCCCGAGCATCAGTACATGCTATGTGCCAAATAGCAGGACGTCTCCCAGGACTTCCGTCAATGCCATGCTTAACGCAGCTCAACTTCCGCCACCCCCGGCTTCCGTACATACGATGAGGCGCGTAACACGTACACAGCATGACATCCACCGCGAAGCTTCCGATTCATCATATCCGTGGAATCGCTAGATGGTCTTTCTCAGAAGTATGCTACCCGTTATGGGGAGCACAATAAAAACTTTGGTTGTATTTGTTCTGGTTTGGCTATTGTTTTTTTTTTTAATAGTCGTACCCAGCGAGTATTTCCTTCCAGTTTGGATTCAGGTCTGATGTGTAGGTGTGAGGGAACTTATGATCCAATTGTTCAATAAATTCCAACCATTTTAGAATTGTTTTTTGGATAATTTTGTCTTCATTTGGATCAACCATCTTATTCTCTATGTCTAATTTGATTTTGTGGTTGATGGTTATTAATTTGAATAATAGGAATAGTTTCGTGGTGATGATCTGATTGGACACGGTGTAGTGGTTATAAAATATATTATGGCTATGGTTTGGCTATTGTTTTTTTTTTTAATAGTCGTACCCAGCGAGTATTTCCTTCCAGTTTGGATTCAGGTCTGATGTGTAGGTGTGAGGGAACTTATGATCCAATTGTTCAATAAATTCCAACCATTTTAGAATTGTTTTTTGGATAATTTTGTCTTCATTTGGATCAACCATCTTATTCTCTATGTCTAATTTGATTTTGTGGTTGATGGTTATTAATTTGAATAATAGGAATAGTTTCGTGGTGATGATCTGATTGGACACGGTGTAGTGGTTATAAAATATATTTTCTTTGGATATTTGGGCTGGTGTTTTAAGTGCCAGGTTTAGTTTTTCAACGATTCTAGTGATGTGTCGAGTAATATATGTGCAGTGTAGGAATATGTGTTTTGTATTGTCTTGGCGGCTTCCACAGAACTTGCAGTTTAATAGCTTTTGTTTTCCATTTATGTCCCGGAGTATCGATCTTATGCGGGCTTTGTTTCCGAAGATGTATCCGTCCGTCACTATTCTGTATGAACATATTCTTTCCTTGTTTGTTAATTTATTCTTTAAGGATTTTTGCGTAGCGTGGACGTCGCTCCAGTCTATTCCAGGAGGTAGAGGTGACTCATTTTCCGGGTTGTGCAAAAGTTTTGCGTATATGTCCTTATGTTTTAAGGTAGCCCATTGTTGTTTTGTAAGGTCGAAATTTTTGGTCGGTTCTAGGTATTTCTTCCAAATTTGGGGGACGAAAGGAAGGTGGGGAGTCGAATTTGTGTATAGGTTTTGGTTGACTGTTTTGATTTTGGAGCCTAGTGCGTATATTGCCTCTTGGTGCCAAAATTGTTGTGGTGAGTCTATATTCTTTAACGCTATTGTTCTCTCAGCTATACATGCCAATATTTTCGTTTTGACGTGGGGCATATTTATGCCGCCTTCTAGCCATGGACGTTGTAAAGTACTGATTTTGATGGCCACGATTTTTTCAGGAAACCATATGAAGTTGGCGATTTGCTGTTGTATTTTATTAAGGTGTACTTGCGGTATTTCTATAAATCTTGCGTGGAATATAATTTGGGACATTATTGCAGAATTTAGGACCATAAGTTTTCCAATCCAGGTGAGTTTTCGTGTTTTTAGAAAATTGAGTTTCCTGGTTATTTTTACGAGTGCTTCGTTCCATGTGTGAGCTTCACGTCCTTTCCCGTAGTAAATACCTAGTATTTTTGCCGTTTCCTTGTGGTATTCCTTGTGCGGGGATTTTAGAAGTTGTCGTTCTGCGCCCAAAGTGAGGCTTAGTATTTGAGTTTTATCTATATTTATTTTTAAGGGGGAAGAACTGAGTAGGGCCGTTTGACGCCAACACACCTGGTTTTAACTTCTCCCGCAACTTAACCGTAGATAAGGGATAGAATTGCGTTGAGACCGATTGACGCCAACACACCTGGTTTCAACTTCTCTCGCATCTTATCTAGCATGGCCATGGCCAATGTACATAATAACTGTAGATAGGGGGAAGAATTGTGTTAAGACCGATGGACGCTAACACGCCCGGTTTCAACTTCTTCGGGTGAAATGACTAATGAACGCAGGAGATCAATCTATCAAATAAGGTCTATCAAACATTTGTATCCATTTTACTTTTATTTATTATTTACTTGTTCCAGTTTTCCGTTACTTATGGTATATATGTTCCGTTTCTATTTTATTCTATTTTATAGTCACACGTTTAAATAGTGGGAATTCCCCACCAAGTGTGGATTAGCAATGCTTAACCATTCTTTATTGTTAATATCAACACTTGATATATGAACATGGAATATCATACTGTTTTTGGCTGTTTTATTTCAGACTTGGGGTATAAACAGAAAAATATCCATAACCTTTCAACACGACGATCTTGTGAAATTTAACGAAGAGCTTTCGCGACGAACTGGAACCAAATATAGCGAAAAGAGCGATTGATCACTCGCGCCAATACAACGCCGTGATAATTGATGTCGCGCTTATCAAATAGCAATATGACGACAAAAGAGAGATTACGTAATGAACCAACGCAACTTCGTCTTTTCGGCATCGGTAAAGCGATTGAGATGGCAGAGAAACAACAAAACGAAGGATTCCTCGCGGACCGCTAAAAATTTAACTGCTATCATATATAATCAAATATAAGCCAGTGTGTTTATTCTGTGCGAGATCCATTTTCTATTACAAAATCTTGATGTTCTGTTAACGGTTTTATCGTTATATATCAGTCCGGACTTGGCCTTGGTCATAATGTTTTTCACAATTCCTCGCAATATTTCGGCCATATATGATTAACTGTCTTACCAAATGCGGCAACTTATTTTGATTTATCGTCGACGTGAATACCACCGGCACTCGACCAAACTTGTGTCAATCTTGGCCGATAGGAACGCCGGCTTGAGTTAGCAAATAAATGTCGTGAGTGTAAAATAAATGTCACAAAATGCATTGTTTTGCGATATAACTTAGTATTTTCGGAGAATGCATATCATATAAGTTCGGTATTTAAATTATACGCAAATAAATAATATTTGATCTAAATTTATCGCAAATAACGTTATAAACATTCAGTCCGCGAAATGATTAAATGTAAAATGAAGCATGGTAATCGGAATATCGTCAATAAGTCGACATCAATAATTATTATTATAAAATTCTAACAAGTCAGTAATGTCGGATAATGCAGAAAACGCTGCAAAAACAAGTCTTCGTCGCGAGGAAATCGCAAGTATAATCAAACGGGAGAATACTCTCGTCGTTGGTTAATAAATTAGAAACCCGTAAGTTTTATTCAGTACGAAAGTCGATTTTAAAAAACTATCGTTTCCATAAATATCCGTATACCAGTGTCGGTAATGATAAAATTGATCGCATAAAAATGGGTCGGTTAATTTGCGAAGGTGATAAAGGAAAACCAAAGCTAACACAAAAGATAAAAATCAGAATAAAATTAATTTGAATTCACTCCTTGATCTTGTCTTTAACATCTGCCGCCGGCGTGTAGTACTGCCAAGAATATGAAAACCCAACTTCAATGTCCCATTCGGAAAAGAAGTGGATTCAATTGGTTGTTATGATAGGTTTAAATGCGTGAAAAAATATCGCAATTACGGGGTTATTACGTAATTGATTTTGCCGTAATTACGGAATTGATTTTTGTCAATTACGTGCAAGCCTATACGAAACGAAAAGTATTTTTTTACCCTTTCGTTGGTGAGGTCTTGCGAAGATGCGATTTCGCCTCGCTCAAGATCTGAAAAACAAAAGATTTATATATAATGAAATATATATAATTTAAATATATGGGCAATATGAGGCAGCGCAAAATGAAAGGCTAAAATTAGGTAGGCTAAATTGATGATGTGCGGGGTACACCCCGGAAATAATCTCTCTATTTAGTAAATTATATAATTTACTTTGCAATTTAATCGATGGCAGGAATAGTTCAAAAATGGCGGATGGAGATTTGGGGCCACTAAGCGCCCGCAATTACGTGCCTGAGTACCACGCGACGACAGGTGTTCTTCTTGCTCACGTGGGTCAATTGAGCATAATCCATGAATACACTCGATTAAAATTTATTTGAAATTCAGAATTGAATACAAAGGTATAAATTGAGTTTGTAATATTGTCGTTTACGGTCGCTATATTGGTTTCCAAGAACATATAATTCACGGACCTGCACTGACGGATAAGACAATATAGACTAACATTGATGTAAGTTAGTAAAAGGGTCTGATTATTAATATGAAATAATAACCTGTTTTTAAATTTCTATTTAGTTTGTTTCGAGCAGTCTATCTACACAAAGGGTGATCAGACTAAGTGTAGACAGATGTTTATTAAAATATCTACAATATGAATGCGAAGGAGAAAAAAAGTATTTTGTAGAAAATAGCAGTATAAAGTTAAATAATAGAATTCATCGATATCTTTCGATATATCCTCCATTTGCCTTTACTACGCGCCTCGATCTGTTTGACACTTGACTACACGAGGCACGTATGGTTTCTTCTGAAATTTTGTCACAACAAGTCATCAATTCATGCTTTAGAGCAGTTGTTTTCAACCTGGGTTGAAAATGGTACGCAAGCAGCTTTGAATTATTGCAACAATTAACTTTTGTAATCGCTAAACGCCGTTTATAGCGCTACCAGTTCTTGTCATTTCGAGCAGTGCTCTTCAACCGGGTATACGGTATACCCAAGTGTATACCGGACCATAAGTTGGGTATACAATTGATAAAGGGTTAATCCCATTAACGCTAAGGCCGGCAGTCAAATTTATAACTTGCGGACACTGGCCTATTAGATTACATGATGATGTTGCAGTACAATATGTGCGCAAAATTTGATATTTATCCAGGCCTTGAATAAACATTGGTATTTGTAAGGTATACAAAGTTCTTGAAAAATTGTAAAAAGTATACCGCAATTAAAAAAGTTGAAGAACACTGATTTAGAGATCCCCACGCCGTCATTGTCCACCAAAAACGGAACTGGCGTGTGCTCGCCGTTTTGCGTGTTACGTCACAATGCGTATACATTAGTAAATCGGCAAATAAGGAAGTGTTTGTGATAGGGACTAGCACTGATCAAAGTTAATGTACTGTATTGAGGAGCAACGCGCAAATTGGCAAAAACATGCCTGTTTCGTTTTAGGTGGACAGTAACGGGCGAGAGCGATCTCTAAAAGACAAGAATTTGTAGCGCTATAAACGCCGTTTAGCGAATACAAAAGCTAATTGTTGCAATAATTCAAAGCTGCTTTCGTACAACTTGGCGGTGTGTAACGAAATTTAATCATGGGAACACCATTTTTTAATCCGCCAAGTGTGACGTCCGGTTCTGGAAATTCTTTCTCAAAAACTCGGAAGGTTTTTAAGGTTATCGGTACGCGTAAGGTTGTGAACTACTGCTTCACTTGGTGTACATATATTTGTAGACTGCGGTATTTACTGTTATGATACCGTTGTAACTCGGATCAGTTGGTATTTCAATTAAAGTTGAAACAGAATCGCGAAAGAAACTGGAAAATCCGTGTACTTGTAACAGTGCCGCTTTGCCGATATGGAAGCCCAAACAGTCTCTTAAAAGCGGGGCTTGCAGTAAAGTTGTACCCAAGGTCTTTTAATATGAGGCTTCTTTGAAAGAGGTAAACTGTTTCGTACTGGGTATCGGTACTAGTTGGTCAGTCACGATGGCCATGTGGCTGTTTTACTGTTCAGGTTCGTGCAGGATACCCATGGATGTCTTGTGAATTAATGATAATATATTTCGTTTCATTTTATGTGTCCAGATATTTGAGCATATCTCTTTTGTTAAGTTAATAATGCTATTTTCTGCAATATTTTTTCTCCCTTACATTTAAATTGTAGATATTGTAATAAACATTAGTCTACACTTGGTCTGATCACCCTGTAATTCCAAATTAAAACTACAGCCACTCCTTGTGAATATGAAATAGATACCTGATGAGATCATTCAATTTCTTGTCAATCTTGTGCTTTTCTTTCAATCCTGATACTCCGACGCCGGGAGTCTCGTTTTTCAGGGCAGAAACAATTGCAGCCATTTGAGAAAAGTTAGATCTTTAAAAATTCATGTTGGAAATCAAAAGATAAATCTGACTGCAAACTATATAATATTACTTATTTTATATTTACTATTTTTTTGTTGAATAGCTGAAGTTATCGATTTGATATTATTATTAGATTAGAAAAAAGTAATCTTCCATAAATCACGAATATAAAATAATATAATTTCAAATAATATTTACTTTATGGTTCAAATTAAAAATGTTCTTGAAACAAGAAAAGAAATGTTAAGGTAACTCAAATTATTTTTTTTTTATTAAAAATTACCAAAGCATACCGTTTTTGACTATAACTGCCTTTCTTGCCGTATCTACGTGAATTTTTAGCTGCGACAAATAGCCGTTCAGACCATGTAATGCCATTTGGTCATTACGTACAATTTTTCCAAACCGTTGAGTTTGTTTCTCGAATAACAAAAGTGTTGATTCGGCCATTTCATTAACATCGCTGTTGAAAATGCAATATATTAAATCCGACTTACCAAGAGATATATTTGTGAGGAATTAAAATTTGAAAAAACCAACATAAACACGAGAACAGAGGAAGAGAAACTACGTTATCAACAGGTAGTTAATATTGGTTATATTAGAAGCGCTTAGTGCACATAGAAAGTGAAATTTTTGTATCTATTTTAGGATATTGTTTGGGATATTGGTTACCCAGTATGATTTTGTGCAGCGAGAATAACATTAGCAGTATCATTCAAGCAAGTCATTTGAATATTTTTCAACAACGATTGTTTGGCTTCTGTCCAAGTATCTTGTGTTTGACTGTTTCTGGATGTGAAGAGGTACGACGATCTTGCATAAGTCTGCGTCTCCACATCTATCGCTTTGACATGGAAAATACAACGAGTAGCCGAGCTTAAGTGAAATAGTGTGCAACAGGTTTTGTTTCTAGCTTTTTGCGTTCTAGATAGCGCCACGTGTTACCACATTACCACGGTTTAAGCATGTGTTTATCGTAACAATTCATTTAAAGCGGTATCTCAAATAGTCGTACCGGTTTTAAGATTACATAGGGCAGTAATTTAGTTATGAACCATATACGCTTAGACATGCCAAGACAGAAACGTAAACAGACATTTATAGATAAATGGCAGCAGTGGTGAATCCACTGAACCCCAACTGATTCGTTGCGCACTTTCGGGCGCTACACTCTTCCGGCCCGCGAACATCCCTCCGATCCAAATTTTGGCCCGCGGCAAATAAAGTTTGGGAAACCCTGTCTACACTATGTACATATAAATTTATTGCTGAGAAATGCCATCAATGAACAGTTGATATGAAACTTGACGTACTTAAGACAAACAACCATATATCGAACTAGAAAACAAGGACTTGAAAAAAAAACGGCATCATAATATACCTAGCTTTTGGATTGAGCGCCATACATATCGAATTAACTTGTTAAGGTGCTTATTTTCGTTGTACTTTCGCAATTTGTTGAACAGATTAAAATGCAGAACATCTTGTACGAGATATTTCTTTGCCTTGCCATATTGGAGATTATTGATGAATACAGTCGTAAATTTCGTTGAATACGGCAGAACCTCTTTTAGTATATATGAATAGCATAAACCTTGAATTTTACTAGAAACACAGGATTTGGTCATTATTTCGAATAATGTAGAATGAGAAAATGTGATCACATCTTGAAATTCCACCATTTTTAGGTTTTCATCCAAGAAGGAAATATGTGCGCTCAAAATAGTTTGTCCATGCAGCATCTAGAAAATGAAATACCTTTGGCTCCCCTGCTTATGTGATTATTTTGAATATTATGATATAGTAACAAAATAATTTAAGCAAAATATTTTATATAGGACTTGGTAGGATGGCAGCTTGGAGATTAATAGAAAACAGTTCGTTTTATTCAAGCCAATATTGGGATTTGCGCAGTGTTTTATTCACGAAGTAGTAGATAATATTACGTGATATAATGTGTAATATCTCACCGACAACAATAAACCAGGTCTGATCTCGAGGAATATTGATATCGTTTTCGGCATATCTTCCGGGAGAGAATGTAAAAAATATGACAGACTGTCAAAAGTTTGCTCCTGAAATTGAATTTAAATAAGATAAAAGCGTTGTTAAATTGAGTGACAAAACAATTCTATATTTGAAGAGTAAATTCATTCTACACGACACAACATTATTTATGTTCTCACCTCCAAATGATCTTTTGAGGTTTTGGTTCGGCTGAAGAAAACGTCACAACCAGATTGCAATTTCACAGAAATATCACTGACGTGAGTCATTTTTCTGATATTATTGAAAAATAACTTGTTTTATTTCAATTAATTGTTCATATTAATTAAGTGCTCATATTAAATAAGTACAAGAATGAAAACAGAGCAAGCGCACAAATATAAAAGACTTTTTCAATATAGTTGAAATTGATCCAGCGTTGTATTTCAATGTGTTAGAGCAGGGGTTGCCAATTACTTTTCTGAGTAGGCCGGATAAAGATAATAGACTTGGTTACTGGGCCTGATGCTCAATAGTGTTGTGATCTCGGGAAATCCCCATCCCGGGATTTTTGCCTTTCTTCTCCAATCCCGATCCCAGGGTAATTTCAATATATAATTCCGTCACATAGTGTCATCCTAAAACGGTTTTACTGTGCATTTCATAAATTGAGTCGTCAAAAAATTACTGACATTGGCGACAAATGTACTTCGAAGATAGTTCTGTACTGAAAAATCCTATCTAGACACCATTAAAAATAGCTGAATACTTGATAAAAAAAAATAAAGATATCAGGCATTACGGAGACACTCAAATGGCGGTTGCACAGTCGCTTCATGCTTTCTTTGCACGTGATGAAAACGAAGAGGAACGAAGGTGTGTTATGGATGACAAACGGTTGTTGAGAAAGAAATGCTGCTATATGAGGCGAGCAAGTAGAGTCCATGAAACATGGAAAAGTTGCATAGCGCAAAAAAAAAATCAAATCTACGTCAGATGAGGCTGAGTGTGCATTTTCAGCACTTGACTTTTCTACCAACAAAATCAGGAATAGTCGCAACGATGACACCACCCTCGATGCTCTCGTGTTTTTGCATAAAAAACATACATGACAGTTTGTGTGTTTTTTAATTTTATTCATCCCGGGATTAGATAGTGAAAATCCCGACCTTGGGATTTCAAATCTGGTCCAGAAATAGCAACCCTACTCAAAATTCAATAGGAATTAAAACGGCTCATTTGCAAATACCTAGACACACTGCATGCGTTTACAAGATTGATTAAATCAGGCTCGAAGCTGTTTGTGATGATTCTCCAACATTTTTCTAGCAAAATCTTTGATATTTTTGAACTTTTTCGGTTGAAGTGATTGATAAACCCCATCAATGACTTAGCGTCTATATTACGTCTATTCTTCACTCCTGGACACACAATGTTGATGGCGTCAACTATGCAATCTTCCACAAATTCTGCATCCAAAAAAAGCTTGTCGCAATCTGTGTACTAAAACAAAACTTGCCTTCGTAGCAGCCTCTTTGGGAGATGAAAACTTGATAAGGGTACGCTGTTGCTGTTTCAGCATTATAACCATATCTGCTGCCTTGCGTTTCAGTCTTTTCATATTATATTCTTTGAACACCACACATGTTTCATTACAAAGTAAGCAGGCAGATTTTGGTTGACCATTGTCCATGAAAAAATACCTTTCTGTTCATTCCTCGTTAAATACACGACATTCGGAATCCAATTTGCGTTTTTCACCCATTCTAATAAATTTATTACAATGGATGGCGGATTACAGCAGCTGCGCAGAGAAAGTTGTTAGAAAAAGAAGATAGCTTGGCTTACGCTTATATAATAAGCAGCACAATGTATAACAATCAGGGTCATTATGACGTTATTTGATAAATTCAAATTCACTGAGGAAAAGCAATAAATATTTGCAGCAGAGGATGCAGTAATAACATTGGAAGATTAGTAAGTGATGGGAGACAGAATAATTGAATTTGAGAACTGAAATTGATTAACCTTAGCGGACGATTTGATATTTCTTCGGTATTTTTACCGGAAGTTTATATCCATAAAAACCATAGACATAATTGCATTAGGAACAAGTGGGCCAGATGAAACACTTTAGTGGGCCGGATCCGGCCCACGGGCCGTAATTTGCCCACCCCTGTATTAGAGTCACATATTTCGTAGGATCGTTCAATCAATATTTTTCTGAATAGAATTTATAGGATCTGTTATTTTTACCTAGGTCAAACGCACGACTTACTTCAAAAATAGCGGTATCATCATCTCACTTTCAAAGTTCTGATTCTGATCCAACCAGTAAAATGCTTCACTACTGAGCTTTGAAGCAATCTAAAATGGATTAGATTGAGTACAATACAATAATACGACATAAATGTGACCGATATTACGGCTTTATTTTAAGTGGAATAAAAATAACAAAATGCGAACAATGACATCTCTTTCACGATATGTAAAATAAATTTGTACCTATGTAGCACATTTTATCAAGTTTTGGAAACTCCCCACACACTAACATCAAAACAGTTTCGCAAGAAATACCCTCAATGTATCAATATATTTGATGTGTGACCAGTATATATGCAGAACTCACCTCAACCAGTACTTTGGGTCTGTAGTTACCAATTGTAAACGCTGATAGTGGAACGCAACTTCTGCCCGGCATTGACTTTTCGATTTCTTTGTACTTGGCAATAAGGCTTTGAGCGTCTAATATTCCGCAGTTTGGTAAGCCGTCAGTGAAAAGAATGATATTGGATCTTACATTTCGCTCCTTCCAAAAATGTGACCTTGCCCTGAAGATAAAGAACTTACATCTCATATTTGTTGTAATCCTAAACTGATAAAAGAGCTTTGTATGCAAATGAAAGTTTGATTTCTCTTTGTTTAAAAATATAATATGCAAAGTTAAATATATGATATACTCACCATTTAATTTCCTCGAGTGCTTCAGTCAAACCATCTTCTAAATTTGTTGCCCCTCTCAAGTTCAGTAGCGGCAGAGTATTTTTTGCCAAATTCTGTAATCAACCAAAATAATTTGCTTTATAAAACAATAACTCTGATCTTGCCATATATATATCGAATATATTGATTCGACAATTTATTTTGATAATTTCAAACTACGCCGAACTAAATTTGTATAATTCATATATGTTTTGTTCACCGAAGACGTATATAAATCAAATAAAATCGTTATTGAAATTCAAAAAAAAACTTGTGTAATTCGTTTTTTGAAATGATTGTGTGCGTGTAAGGAGCTTTCTTAATTTATCTACTATACCTTCCCATGATCATCCATCTTTGTTATACCAAGATCAACTCTGGCATCTTCAGCAAATGAAATTATTGCTAGATAGTCATCACTTGACACATGCTTTATCATCAAATGGGCAAATGTCTAAAAGTCACCCGAAAATAAAATTAACAAAAACGCAGCTGTGTGAATTTATCTGTGATTTTTGGGATATCGGGAGATAATCTGATATGAAACAAACTAAAGATTCAGTTCCAAACTCACTTTTATGCCATCGATCTCAGTGGGTCAAAAAGTTAATATAGATATACGAAATTTATTTTGTAAGTTAACTTGATTACTGTAAAATATAAATGCTCATTTTTGGTATACACACTAGGTTCAAAATAGTAGCAAGCGTAGTCTTATTGCTAGTTTTATTTCATACCTTCATCCTGTCAAATAATGATGTACTGTCATTTCCAACTGGACTACTCATACTACCACTTGCGTCAATTACAAGTATGAAACAAAGAGGAGTTTTGACTCCGATACGAGCAGGTGATTTTATCTCAAGATATATATTAATCTGAAATATATGAAGTAGTAGTTCATGTAGTCTAATTTACATGAAAGTGAATTTGCATTCACGACCTGGTATTATTAATAAAACAAGAGAGCGATGCCCAAATATCTGAACACAAAGGCCAAAACTAAGTAGTTTACGGCACAGTTCCTACCGTGCGTTGCTGGTATCAAATAGCCTTCAACCTTCGCGTACCACGAGTTTCCTGAATCAAAATGAAATATCAGATCTCACAGGATTAATAGAAAAGTTAAAATAAATAAAAGTAATTGCCTTCTAGCGACAGCAACAATCCTAAATAAATGAAAGTTTTTAAGCGATTAGTCCAGTAGTTGAATAGAAAAGCAATTTTTTCCAACAAAGAGATGAAAAATAATAACAACAACAAAAAGAAGAAAAAGAAAGCATAAAAATTGTACATTCTCTTATTTCTTTTTATCTAACTAATTGGTACTTGTCTAACAATATAATCAGTAATAGCCTATAACGACCAATATATAATTGCAATACATTTGAATACCTGATTATTTGAAGCTTCACAAAAGTATTTCGATTCAACATGTGCAGTATTGTCCCCCGATGTAACAGGTAAAAGTCGTTGGCGGCTGAAAGATGCCATGATACCAAGAAAGGATGATCCGTTCAGCTGATAGCTATCAATATGTATATATATACAATATTTATCTGTTGGAAGGATTTTGTACTAAATAGAATATCAATATACTATTGTTCTTTGCAAATAGGTTGGATTGCAGACACTTGAACTAAACAGTAAACACTTGAAGTATACATCCATACTATACAATTGACTTTGATATGGTAGCTCGATCTACATTTATTAAAACACACTGTTTTCATTTATTCATTAGTTCCGCACTGTAAGAATAGTGATAAAGTTTTTGTGAAACCATGGGATTATTTCTTGAATACACATTTAAAACGCTGAAGAGTTATTCTAACATTCGTTTTCGAAAAGTCATTTAAAACTGTGTAGCTAAATAAATACCCTGGCTTTAATAAAATGCCACTTGAGCGCAATAATGGAATATATATATATAACCTAATCGATTCTTGACTATATTATTTATTTACATTGCTTACACTTTTTATTTATGATACCGGGTCAACATCAGATATACTATTTATTGGTCTGCGAAATTTTTCAATATTCACTCTTTGCAATGTATTTATTGTGGAGGAAACAATGTTGTTTTACTATTGGCTAAGTTAGACATACACACACATATATCAACAAACATTATATTCTGCAAGAAAATAAACATGTTTAAATCGACCATTTAACATATTGAAATCTCTTCAGCTACTTGCTGTACTTATTTGCAAATTTTTTCCGGATAGATCTTTGAAAATATTTTGGGTATATATCATGGGGAATTTTTGGGTAAGCTCGTTTGTCCGGCGGTGCGTGGCGCTTGAAACTAACCAAGGTACCTGTATTACTATTCTCAGACTATGATTCAGCGATCACGAAAAAGAAAATGTCAGGCAAGACTCAGGTTGCGTACGACGTGTTATTGGATGTAACAATGAATTTGCTTCAGAGTAATCGCTATAAAATACTTCTCACAAATTTCAACGTTATTCAAGGTATCGGGATTTGACTACCATCAGACTTTATTTTAAAATTAATTATTAAAGAAATAGTAACAATTGTCACAATACAGGGGATTTACCACAGCAGAAACTAATGGAAATAATCAGACAATTGAAGCATTGCATTTTGCCAATTTCTGCGAATTTTTCTGAACTGCAAAATTTTATAGCAGTTGAAGCGTAACGTATGAATGAAGGTTTAAGATACCAACTCATATTAGCTTGCATTTTAGCCGGATGATACTGAGAAAGGTTGGCCAGATCAACCCCTTTGAATAATAGATTAAAAAATCGACAATATGGACAGAGTGAAAAGGGTCAACAACTAATACAGTGACTATCGAAAGCCTAAATGATCTTTCCACTTGTTGACTTATACAATTCATTTATAATCAACATTGATGGGATAAAAAATAAACATTAATTCTACTTAGTTTCACAAGTTGTATGAATCGTGCAAGATCAACTGTTCTTCCACTACCTTGCTCCAACGTGTATATTGTAAACAATGAAATGATTCGATTCGTTTGAAATAAGGGACAAACTCAATTAAAAATATTTTCGCTGTCACTCTGTTTAATTAAATTATATATTAGACTGCTTAAATGGAGAATTGTCTATATTTTTCTATAACAAAATGGGTGGTACTGACCTACGAACGTCTCAAAGTCCTACGGGCGAAAATAGCTAGCGGCAACCTTATGTTTATAAAATAGCATCAGCTGTGGAAAATTGTGCGACAAATCGGGATATTCATGGATTATCCACAGGGGAAGTCTCAGAGGCTTCACGTTTGAGTGAAGTTAATTTTTTATGACCAGAAACTTTTCCACGCATCGCACACGCCCAAACCCGGCGCTCTGACTAGATTATGTCGAAATTTTGGAATACTTATAGAAGCAAACAGAGATTACATCATACATGAAAGGCTATACCTATCACACTAATATTAAATTGCATTTCGGAAGCTGACTGTTATCAAAGACTACCTTGACACACAAAAAGAAACTGAAGACTAAATTTGATTAGGCTAACGGTTTTGCAATTCTAGGTGCATACGCAGCACAATGACATTTTTGAGACCCCCATTTTACATCTACGCTGGAAATTAGCACTCGTTATTTTAGCTTGCACTGCTCTGTTGAAATGGATTTAATGGCGTTGTATATGTGCATTGGCGTCGTTAAAAAAAGTTCCAGTGTCTTACATGGTTTAATCATTAACCTCTGCAAATATTGCTGCACACGAACACAAATATATTTCTGTAACGTTTCGTCTGACCAAAGGTCAGACTTCTTCAGACAAGCATTTAAGCATTTCGTCACACTAATAAAAAAATTGCCTAAGTCACTTTTTGTCGATTTTGAGATTTTGGTATCGCTGGATTCTTTGGGGAAAGATCTATCTTTCTATGTTATTTAAACGCCTGTCCGCCTCCAGTTTTTGTACGTTCTGGTGTCGTTACGACACTCTTCGACTAGCAACGCTTTCTGGTTCAAGTAGGGTGTACTAAAATATATATTTATTTCAACATCTGGACGCTACCGGAGCTGAGAAACTATGCTCTACTTGGAAATGCTTCTGCAAATGATAGTGTCACACGTGGTAAGTTATTGAACGCCAAAAATGCGGATTTATACGGCGATAGTAGCAAGCGATCTAAATATATATTCGTATTTAATTTTCACAGATGAGGTGAATGAAGTTGGAAGTTTTATAGAGCTTCAGCTCGATGGTTTCGAGGGGGATTCCGATGCATATTTATATATAGTGAAAGTGGCTATTTACCGTTCCACGAAATACTGGATATTGATGTAAGTCTCGATAATCTGGACACGACGAGTATTTCGAACAATACCAATGAAGGCTCTACAAGATCAGATGGCACTATTGAAACCTATGACGAGCCCTCACCTAACCGAGAAAAGAGACCAGTGCACGATAAATGGAAACAAAATAAAGGAAAAATCAGGCGCCTCCGTGGAAAATCATATAGAAACTGGAAAGAAAAGAATGTGCCCAATCGTCAACCAGGGCCACCATGTAGATCTGCATTCTGTAGCAAAGTCAAAATTCGCCAGTGTAACGTTGTAGATGAAGATCAAAGACTTGCTATGTTCATTAAATTTTGGTCTATGACGACTTGGAATGAACGCAAAATATTCATAAATACTCTGGTTGGGACACATGAGGTTAAACAACAAAGATCTTCCGGTGTATCTAGGAGAAAATCTTCATATGTTTACAAACTAAAGCTTTCGAATGGTTCTGAGCTGCCAGTCTGCAAAGAAATGTTTGCTTCCACGTTTGGGATGCCTTGCAGAACTTAGGTATCTTGGATTAAAGATAAAACCTCTTCTAACCAAACAGCTGTTGTTCAAGCAGGTCCGAAAAGTGGAAAATGTGCAAAAGTAAGTGAAAGGGATAGAGAGTTTATAAAAGAGTGGCTCAGCACACTACCAACTGTAGACTCCCATTATTGCAGAAAATTGCCAAGTTACAGAAACATAAAATTTTTGTATTCAGGCACCACAATATCTGCTCTCCACAGACATTACCAAAATGTTGCAGAGGAAGAAAACAGGAGGGTCGTTAGTGAAGCTTATTTCAACGAGATTTTCCACAGATATAAATACTCAGTTTTCATTCCCCGAAAGGATCAGTGTGATAAGTGTGTAGGTTACAAACATGGTAACATGAGTACAGTTGAGTATAGCTTGCATATCAAACTGAAGGATGATGCTAGAAAAGAAATAATAACCGACAAAGGTTCTGCAAGTGCAAATAAATCCGTTTGGACGGTGGATCTACAGGCCGTGCTTTTATGTCCTAGAACGAGAGCTAGTACCTCATATTACAGAACTAAGCTACAGGTACACAATTTCACTTTATATGATACGAAATCAAAAGCAGGTTACTGCTACGTCTGGAATGAAACTGAAGGCAATCTTTCTAGTGAAGTATTTGCTTACTTGCAGTTTGAGCATTTTAAGCGAATCATTTGTAATAATCCCGAGCTGAAGCATATCATAGTTTGGAGCGATGGATGTGGTTACCAAAATAGGAATAGCACGGTAGCCAATGCATATTCTAGTCTGGCAAGAACTTACAACATAGATATAGAGCAAAAATTTTTGGTGGCTGGACATACACAAATGGAATGTGACTCGATGCACAGCGTCATTGAACGAAAAATCGTAGGCGACATTTTTTCTGAAAGAGATTTGATCGTACTCATGGAATCCGCAAGAATCCATCCATCACCCTTTCATGTTCGTCAAATGAGGCACACTGATTTCAAAAGAATGAATCCATTGTTCCTTCAAAGCATTAGACCCGGAAAAAGAGTAGGAGATCCCAGAGTGCATGATTTGCGTGCCCTGGAGTACGAAAGTGATGGTAGTATTCGTTACAAGCTTTCGTTTGAGAAAGTAATTTGGAAAACACTACCACACCCTGTACAGAATGTTCAAAGTCAATGGGTGCCAATGTTCAGATCTCGTATTCCAGTTTGTGCAAGGAAATTTAATGATTTTCAAGAAATGAAATCAATTATGCCAATTGACTGTCATCCTTTTTATGACAACCTTCCTCAACGAGTAGATTATACAAACTTAAATGAAGTATACTACTATAGGGTTGCCATACCGTCCGGAAAATTCCGGACATGTCCGGAATTTAGGGTTAAATTTTGCGTCCGGGAGGAATTTTAAAAAATGCTCAAATGTCCGGAATTTTACTGCATCTGCAATCGTAATATGCACACTGCTAATACAGAACATTGTTATTTCGTACCGTGCGCTTATTTTTTACTACGAGGTTGCATGGAATTATTATGTAACAGAGCGTTTTTCTTATTAATGGTGTCAAAGTTGCAAACCTCTGAGAGATGCTAGGAGTACTTGTGCAAATGGATGAAACCAATGAAGAGTTTACTTGTTTCAAATGGATGACCTTGAACGAGATACCAAGTTGGAAGGATGTAAAGCAGGGGTTGGCAACCTACGGCCCGCGGAGCAATATAATCCGGCCCGCAACGCTTCACTGAATTATAGTAACAAAACAGCTGTTTGACGATTATATTCTTTACGTAACAGAATTAATTTTAAGAGGCGTGTAGGCTAAATTATGTTATAACCTAACAAGTATATAATTCACAATTTCGCGTTTAATGACCCTATAATTTAAATATAATTACACAAATGACAACAAAACGCAGAAAAGTTGATACTAAGCGCAAATGGTTTAATGGTTCAGAAAATATTCAAATGATCAGTCTTCGCGCGCTGCTTAAAATTTATCCTCTGATCTGTGGGAAAAAGTGTGATTCGTCGGCCATCCATTCGGTTTTCAACATTCATAAAAATATGTGCGGCCCGCCAATGACTTGCAACCTTTGGTTATGGCCCACGAGCTACAAAAGGTTGCCGACCCTGATGTAGAGCCTTGCGTGGAATATCTGATTGGTAAACGGGTTGATGTGGACGATGAAAATTAAGAAGAATTTATTAAACTGCTAACGCACAAGAAATGGTGCAAATATTTCGATCAGTCTACGACCATCACATTCCACTCAGAAATTTTAATGATTGTACTGTTTTTCTTTGCTGTTACATCCCACAATGCCAATGTAGAGAGAGTCTTTTCACTGATGCAAAGTCAGACGACTAAAGAGAGAAACAAGTTGCGACTATGGAAGGCATGTTGACTCTTCAATATAATTTCAAAGATATGCACTGTGGTGAATTGTTTTCATTTTTGAAATCAGACAAGACCCTATTGAAGAGATATAGATCTTCAGAAAAATACGCATGGTCAGAAGAGTAAATTTGTAGTGTCTGTCTTTAATTTGTCTTAAGCTTGTAATTGCTGTTCTTCCTTTTCGGCACAACCTAATTCTCATTATTATTTTTCACTCTGAAGTTTTTATTATTTTTTTTTTTTTCAGTGACGGTCCGTAGCTATATTTAGAGTGTGCTTGGTGTGAGATTCTGCTTGTGACTGAAGACAATACTTTTCATTTCGGTAGCTGGCACTTTAGCATGAGTATCGTACAACGTTTGCAGTCTTAGCATTTCGGTAGCGCATATATATGGTCTCATGAAAAAAGAGACCTCCAGAAGGATGCGCACAATCTGAACATAGTTTGTGTGTACTGTTAGGACTAAGGTTGTGCGACATCTTGGTGCGCATACTTCTGGAGCACCGAAAATAGTCATGCACTGTCCGGAATTTTGCTTTTTTAAATATGGTAACCCTATACTACTATAAATTCATGATTACAGTTGTTTGTTTATGTTGATGTTTTAGGTTCAAAAGAGTTATTTATGTTTTGATTCTATTATAATGTTTGTTGCTTGAGTTGTGAAATTTTACATTCCTTGTATCAATTGAATACAATACATCTGGCCTGTGGGCTGACATCTATTCTTATGTCCATCAAAGCCAAATTATGATTAGGAGGAATATCGAATTTTGACTTGGCTTTCGTGTCATATTAATTTAATGGAAGTCACTCTCTCATTATTTGCCGAATGGACGTTTACAAAGTATATAGGTCAAGCGAATGTACAGAGAAAATATAGGGCGAAGATGTGAATAATATTGCCTAACTCAGGGTGCGGGAATAAAAAAATGCCTAAGTCAATTTTAGCGCATATAAAATAGAATTTGGAAGTTATAGATATCCTAAAATAATTAAAAATTTGATAAGATAAATCTAGATAAAAAATTTTTTGAAATAGATTGAAAAATGGGAAAGTTATTTTGTTTTTTTTGATTTACTCAAAATGTTAAAATTTGACTTAGGCAATTTTTTTATTAGTCTGACGATTTGTAAAATGCTTGTCTGAAGAAGTCTGACCTCGGTCAGACGAAACGTTACAGAAATATATTTGTGTTCTTGTGCAGTAAGACTCTTGAATTGAATAGAATAGCCATTTACACTCTTGCTACAGCATCCTTGCGTAATACGCATACGGATCCACCTGCGCAAAGGCATAGAGAGCATGGAAAGGTAGTTAGTTTCACGCAACCTCAACTGTTAGTCACATTTATTTTAGAGTGTTATCAAAACCGGAATTGTTAAAATCGGTCATCTCGAAAGCAAATAACTTCATTGATTTTGTAGCACTGACCTAAACAACGTATAAATATCAAATCTAGCATTATGCGTGGCGAATACAAATACAATACTTTTAAATACGCAGTAAAATCTGTATGAGAGATCATGTTTCGGTTGTGTATTAAATAAAGATTTCGTAATCTACTACCTTACCATTGTAGAGCATTGATTATGTAATGAGTTGTAAATGACAATTGACTCATAGACGTAGGAAATACATTGCGCAAAATATTAACCAAAAATAGCTAACCTTTATTTATTGAAATAAAACTGTTTCTGAGCTTAAGCATGCATAGAGTTGTTAGGCAAAATCGTCCGAGCGAATGTAAAATCCTTTGACTAGAAATATCTCAAGTGTAACAAATTCGTTCAAATTTTAAAATCTGGACAAAAATCAGTTGATACACAAAGTTCTTTAATATTCGATATTTAGTACATTTTGTTAGCGAGAATCATTACGTGTTTCTAATTTGATGACGTTTTACGTTACGTTTACGTATCGACGCAGCATTATTGCGACATAGTCCTGTCAGAAGTTTCTCGATTAATCCCGGGAATTCTAAATTGTCGCCACGCTGCTTCGATGAGTTGGTACCTTCTGTCTCGTATCGAGTGTAATCTATTGCGCTAGAGGTTGTTTATCGTGTTTAATATTGGGTTTACTATTTGCGGTTAGGATAAACGATTCGGAGTGAAATTATTAATTGGGTTTAAAATCAAGGGTTTATACTGAAGTTGTAATATAGTGTGGGGATACAAGTTAGGGTTGTATTATAGACCAAATGGAAAGATAACTGCTGTTCTTTGTATTTAGTCACATAAGTTAAGTTATATTTATATTTACTTTGGATTATAATTTGTTGAATTGAGTTGCCTGGAGATCCTAAACATTCGGTATGTAAATATTGTTTTATCTTGCTTGATTTATTCTGTATTTTAGTATTGTGAATGCTATTTTATCCTATGTGATTTAATCTGTACATAGTTGTGACATTTGGTTATCTGCTAATTGCTGTGAATTGTTATTGCTTGTAAAAAAGGGAAATGCTGTTATATTTGATTAATTGTGCCATATAAGCTACTTAGTTTTATCTATTATTTTGGCAGAAAACCGTTCCATTAACAACGTTCCTTCACGTTCCATATACGTTCCTCATACCCGGTATCAAGATTCACGTTACGTTCCATTAACAACGTTCCATTTCTCTTACCCTGCAAGTTCTATTTTCCTGATTCAGTGATTCATGTTCGAGATTTTATTTGAAGTGTCTGTTGATTGTTATTAAAGATATTCACCGATTTCAAGTTGAATTATATTGGGGCAGCACTTGAAAGGCACAGAAGAATCTGGGGGCACTTTAACCGCTGTTCACAGACTTTAATTGTTTGAAAGCACGGACTAGTTGTAACAATTAACCGATATAGGTTTGGGGTCAGGACTGGAGTATTGGGACGCGTGTGAGGGCTACATAGAATCGAGCGCAACACATTTCACGGTCTCCCAGTTGTCACTTAGTACTTCATCTTGTTGTGAGTGAGTTTGTTTTGTTGAATGAGAATTGTGTAACAGTGCATTTGTATTAGAAACAAGAGAGCAATGCTCAAATATATGCGCGCGTTAACCAGAGCGAAACAGTTCTTACCTTTGACGCTACCGGTACCCTAAAAAATTTCCGAGTTTCGCGTATCAAGAATTTACAGAATCAAACCGGACAGCCAGTGTTTCCATGGATAAAATAATACAGCGAAATTTTGGACGAAATATAGGATTTCATACGAAATTTAGAAATAAATAAAAGTAATAGCCTTCTGGCAAAAAAAAATTTTATCTTCAACCACAGAAAATATCAAAGCAATTGGTCCAGTGTTCGAAGAGAAAAGCGATTTTTAAATAATGACGACGAATAACAAGAACAACAACATAATATGGAGTTGATTGTTATGTCCACTAACGTGTCCAAAAATACTGCCTTTGAATTACATCCGAAAAGTCATAGTATACGAAAGAACAGAAAGTTTCAAAAGCTGCAGTCTATAATAGTATTGCAATGTTAAATATTCGCCAATGCATCAATACTCCAGGTCAAATTTGAATACATTAAGGGTAAAAATGATCATGCGACTCAAAGTTGGTAAGATACATCCCTGACGTATATTTAAAAAAAAAACTAAAAATGGTTATGCGACTGAAAAATAATAATTTCAATTTATTGCATTCGTTCGTCATATTTTGATTTGATAAAAATAAGATTTGGAATCCGTAACATGATGATAGTGCGTGTGAAATATTTAAATGGGCTGTTAATTCCAATATTGCAAAAGACATAAATAATGATATACTATAATGATAATATAATATAAATGATGATAATAATGATACGATAAAACGAAAAGTAGCATGGAAACCAGAATGAATGAAAATATAGTTTTTTATTTAGGGATTTTAAATATATGTAGCAGTGTTTCGGTGATTTGTTTTGAAATATGGTTCCATTACCCCCCTCCCCCCTCCTTTTTGTTGTGCTTCAATGGCGGTTCCGTTCAATTTTACGAGCAAATTACGTACACCTTCCGCTCAATTTCATCGATTTTTATGCAGCAAAAAAAAGTTCGCTATGAAGTAATTTTAGGATCTTTAAAACTAATATTTTTGGAGTTCGGAGCTCTTCAATAATTCTATTTGAAGGATGCAAGAAACGATATTATTCATGTCCACAATAATATTATGGCGACACTTATGCCCGGGTAGTTTCGGCCGTTGATGGGCCGGGGGGACTGGCTAACCATATCACCTGCAAATGTCGACATGGAATTACAGTCGACAACATTCAAGCGAAGATTGACTGATGAGAATGATGATTCGAGCAATGTTAGCGAAGTTAAAATCAGTATGCAACATGATACCACCTAAACAGAACCACTCAGAGCCTGTTATTAAACAAATGTTGTCTCAACAGGTGGATTTCACAAATCTATGTGTGATAATTAAAGCTACTCAGACAGGCCGTCAGTTGCGATAATATAATCCGCTCGTTGTATCTGGTTCTCTGAGAAAATTGATAGATGAATGCAAAAACATTCGCCCACTATCTTCTGGCTACTTGCTTGTAAAATGCGTCACAAGAAAGCAGGTTAGCATCGTGATTGCATGTAATATTTAGGAAACCCTTTATTAATATCGATTCCCGTCAAAACAGAAAAGTACCTGAGTCGAGATTTTTCTGCTCAGTGCGTTATCAATCATGTTCCAGAAGATCTGTCAAACACCGAAACTGCTTGCTTTCTTGCTAAATTTTGCGTTGTACAAGCAAGGCGACTAAAACGCAAAAAAAGCTACGGCTTTGAACTTTGCTCTACGGTTCTATTGAATTTCAGATAAATATTGTGGCTTCTACGGTTGAAATGGGATACTTGAGGTTTAAGACTCATTAATAAAATCCGATACGGTGTTTCAATTGTAACATATATGGGCATATTGGGAAACATTGTCGCGTAAGAAGCGCTGCACCAATGTGCTGGAGAACACATACAAGCGTCATGCGATTACATTATATCATCACAGAACAAGTATTCAATGGGTATCTCGGAAATGTCATGTCCCACTTGTCCCACGTATTCAATTAATAAATAATTCCCCTCAAAAATCTTAACGTAATACTGCACTCGCCACCCTAAATAGACTTGAGTAAATTTATTTTTCCAGATTGTGTCGCGTTCAACCCATAATTTTGTTTTGCGACAAGTTGAAAAGCATCTCAGACGATGTTTATTTTATTGCAATATTCAAAATCTAAAGTAAAAAATATAGGTGTCAAAAATTAATCTAGTGTACCCGTTGGTGAGTGATGTTTTACGAAGACTTCTTTGTATCGATGAATACCTGAATTTGAAGAAATTCAAATGAAATTATTTAACTCGATTCACTCCATTAGGTTCAGTATTCCTCACTGTGAAACGTAACATTATTATACTGTATTATAATATTAGTTGCTCAGGCGTCATGAATTGCCTTGCGTTTTCAATTAAACGGGCGCTTTAACACCGGTGCTGGCCAACACGTCAATCGCGATCGACCGGTCGATCGCCACGTCTTTAGTATATAGTCGATCGCATCTGATATTGGTGTATTTAATAAAATATTTCCAAAAATTGCCGTAAGCCAGTTTTCTGTAGCGCCTGTTGCGTGTTTTAAAACAAACCAATACAGTACTGTAAATGTGCAAAATACGATATACACATACAGTATGCAACATATTTCGAAATGAAGGAACAAACTTATGATCAAAGTACTTATTTTCGCCTTTCAACTTTTTGATTATCCTTCACGTTCTTAAATGTCGCTTTGCAATGGGCGAGCACAGCATGAAGTTTCTGAATTTAAATCAATCACCCCGAATATATGTGAGTGTATCCCAACAATATTTCCCCATAAATTCTATGTCTTCCGTATTTCGAAGATTCCTTCTAAATGTAAATACTGTAAGGGTAAAGGCTCAATGATATATCAATGGTGGTCAAAATGTTTGTTATAAAAACTCCTTGAAACTACCTCATAATATGTGGTTATTGCAATGTAAGATGCGATCAGTAAAAATAACATGATCTCCTTCAACGAAATAGTAAGTTTATTTGTGAGCTCTCGTTAGATCATGGTTTAACTTCTTCAAACAATACAAGATTTAAATAACTGTGAATATAAAGATCACAAGAATTTAGTCTGTAATTGAGTTTCCTATAACTGGAGTTCTGCAATGACGATACGGACCAAATTGTCACATCCCCATAGCATCTAAATCCAGTTATAGGAAACTCAATTATAGACTAAATTCTTATGATCTTTATATTCACAGTTATATCTTGTATTATTTGAAGAAGTTAGACTATGATCTAACGGAAGTTCACAAATAAACAAACTATTTCGATGAAAGAGATTACTTATCACTTTAATACTATCTCGTTCAAGCATTCTTGTGGCAAATACCACATACTAATCCGAAGTAGAAAGTAAACAAAAGGGACCTGCAGTTCAATACACAACATCTGAGTCCCCCTAAGATGCGATTGTTTAAAATAATAAAACCAAGGCAACGAACTTTTGATCTCTTACTAGCAAGTTAAATTCAAACCAAGGATAATAGACGCCAAATATAAACATAAACGCTGATTTACTTCTTTGAAACTTCTGCTCTAAACAGCACTCAACACAACAGCAATGCTTTAAACGTTGTTAATTTTCAACATTTTTGTATGAGTCGAAATCTTTGCCATTGGTTTAAATACTTCAAATAATATATATTTTTTTAATTCTTGATACACCACAAAAGAATAACCTTTGAATCTGCAAGAAACTAATTTTAAATTACGAATCGTAGAGTCGTAATCGCGAATTTTTGCAATATATTGTTTGTGGATTTATTTTATTTTTTTATTGTTATATATCATAAGCACTTCGCAATGAATGCATTTCGTGCAGAACAAGTAATATATACACTTTACATAAGTATAAGTATAGTTATCATTAAATCTTCAATAAATATTAATACGAAAATATTCAGCACAAATAGGATTATGCACCGCATGAGGGTTCCTTGTGTACAGTTAGAAGTGGTCGCCATGGAAGCGACCTACGTCAGAGGATGAATTTGGTCGAAAGGTACGCTAAGTACCGTATCGTGATGCTGAGTGAAAATAGTTTGGTAGCATTTGGTATTACCGGTAACATGTAGATTACGCTATGTTAAAGTCTGTGATAGGACGTGTATAACTATTGAACTAGCGACATAGGCAGGTAATTACAGCTGTACGGTAACAGATCAATAAATTATTGATCGTTTAATATTCTTTACGATGTGCACTATTTAGACCATGTTTACAGCATTGAGATAATAAAAATTTTGGTCTAACATTACTGATGCAAGGATTTGGGCGATACACCAACAGCAACATGTCGACGATGGGAGTAATCGAACATGGAATAATCTTCTTTACCAGGAGCACAGTAATAAATGTAACAAAAAATGGAATCAAAACGTTACAATCTTGACTTGCACCGTGTATGGGATCCATGTAAGGTACGTAGCCCATGATGATTGGCCTGGCCCTGCACCTGCAGACCTGAGGCTCAGGTGACTTGGTGCTTGTTATATCAAGACAATTATGCTAGTAGTTAGTGGTAATTCAAATATAAATAGTGAAAATTAAATACAATAATTGATTAACAATGTACAGTCATATGAGAAATACAATATTTAGGTGTACTGACTACAATGTGAAAATGTAATAGACTTTATATATCAGTATAAAGAACAAAATATTAAAGGAGTAGGCTAAAATATTATATAAATTTAAAATATAAAAGTTTGTTTAGAGTCTTTTCTTTGTTTGTATTACAAATATGTTTATCGATTGCCTATCGATTTTGTGTTCTCCTAATATTGCTACAGAACTGAACGTCACATTCAGTTTTCTTGCATTATTTCTAGTCAATTTTCTATAAGTTACATATTTTGGACATTGTATGAGATAGTGTTCTACGTCTTCTATTGTGCCAGTACATTCGTCACATTTGTCTCTAATTGTTCGATTGATTTTTGAGAAATGTTTATTCAATTTACAATGACCTGTTTGTAGTCTGAATATGTTCATAGTTTGTTGTCGAGTTTCATTGATCGTTGTTAGATAGTTAGGATCAAATTTGGGAAAGATTTTTTTATACTAAGATGCCGTTTGATTTTGTTCATAAATTAGGCTCCATTTGTTTTCCATATATTTCTTAATGTATTTTTTTTGGTTCAGATTCAGTTGCTGCCAATCGATATTCTTCTCTTGTAATTTTATCAAACGAAGTGAATTGATGTCCTACATATTCCTCGTGCCAGGTCTGACGGAGTACTTTTGCGGAAATGAGATGAGGTGAGTTTGAAATTTTTCTTCTATAATTCAGGCAAATCTGTTTTCTTCGTATGGTAAGTCAGTGTTTTTCAACCGGGGTGCCGCGGCACACCGGTGTGCCGTTAAATATTGTCAGGGGTGCCGTGGGAAATTCTCCAGTTGTATGTCTATGCGGTGTAGCGTCCGGCAGAGTATCGTGTGGTACTGTTCTATATCAGACCGTGGCAGCCTCTGGTGGCGATTTTTTTGTCTTTGTTTTTATTTGATTACTATTCAAGATGTCCAATTCAACATCTTTCTTCAATATTAAAAATCTTATATTTACAATATAACACTTATATTGTGAATATTAGGTATTTTCGCCATATTTTCAGTTGGTGGTGTGCCGCGGGATTTTCTCACTGAAAAAAGTGTGCCTTGGCTCGAAAAAGGTTGAAAAACACTGTGGTAAGTGGTATTTCGGAGCAGGCATGTAGTACTGCATCAATCGGTGTGCTTTTCCCAGCTCCAAGACAGATACGCAATGCATCATTCTGAATTGTATCTAGTTTTGTCAAAAGTGTCCTAGATGCAGAACAATATAGCTGGCATGCATAATCAAATACTGAGCGAATTAGTGATCTATAAAGAAGAACCATTGTATGCAGTCTTGATCCCCATTTGTTTCCACTGAGATATCTAAGAATATTTAATCGTTGTTTAACTTTTGTTATCATATATTCTACATGGTCTTTCCAATTTAGTTTTTTGTCCAAAATGACACCGAGATTATTTGTCTTGTTGACTATTGGTATAAATTGTTCTGATATTTTGAGGTTGATGTTGGGATTATGTCTTCTTCTAGTCCGGCAGTTAAGGGGACCTTTTTGGCCCAAGTTTGATTTCAGACATAAAGTTTTTTTTATTTGTGATTATTCATCTTGGGGTCATTGCCCATCATTTCTATACGTGTGTGTAGTTTGCAACCTTGAGCAATTTTTTTTACGGCTTGATATTTGTATTAGTGTTATTTGTCAAACCTGTGCATCATAATGACGCACAACCTGAACCATAACCTTTTACAATACTATGTTCAGGTTGTGCGCAATCTTGTTGCACAAACTACGCAAGCACCAAATTTACTAGGAAATAAAATCAATAGCTTTTAAGTATTTATTGAGATATTTGTATTAGTGTTTTTCGTCAAACATGTGCATCATAATGACGCATAACCTGTTACAATACTATGTTCAGGTTGTGCGCAATCTTGGTGCACAAACTACGCAAGCACCAAATTTACTAGGGAATAAAATCAATAACTTTTAGGTATTTGTTAATCCCAGCTTTGGGTCTCGACCCAAATACAGTATATGGAAATACTGTCGAAACATACGCGTAAAGTAAAGAGTACTATTTCAAAATACCCGTTTTTGTTGCAATTAACAATACAAGCCTGCTAATGCAGTCGTCAGTGGTTCAAGTGGATATACACCCGGTGGAGAACAGTCAATTATTTGTTAGCGAGAATTGATATGCAGCGGGATGATCACGACGACGCAGTGAAAGATAATGATATCACGAGAACAAGAATGAGAAAATACTACATTTTATAGTATATCTCTGGGAAAGAATGATGTTCATTCTTATGTCCCATGCCAATGCTTTTCAAACTACCAAAGACTCTTAACACTTTTGCTTCTTCTCTTCCATAAAAATACATTGTTATTATATATTTGCATTTCCATCTGTTTGTTCGTGCTCCCAGATAACCGATCAGCGGCCTCCAAAGAGGACGGGGTCCCCTTTTAAGAAACCCTGTCATAAACTAAAAGAGGCGACCGTGCTTCTCTTGCCTGTTGTCATGCTGTCCCTCGAATTCAGCTACAACAAAAATTTCACGAAAACGGATTTTTAAATTTTATGATTTTATTAATATTCTCAACAATGAATGATATACGGGTGGTAAAATGCCAAATTTTTCCAACAACCTGATCATATTTTGCAATTTACAACCAATAGTTTGTATGTAACTTTCATTGACAGAGCCCCGAGAGCTCTAACTACAAATATCAAAAATGTGAGGCCGAAAAAGGCACACTACAACATTGTCAAATGTGCTGTATTTACGATAGATAACAGGCTGTTGGGGATGTTTTAAAAAAAGGTTGCATGGAAAAACGTTTTCACAAAATGTCAAGGTTTGATAGTAGAAGAGAAGTAGAAAAAATACTGCCATTTTTTTTTCATTTGATAACCACGCCACAGAACTTCCCCAATAAGTATACGCAGCAATTGCGAGAGGCAGAAATGCCAAGATGGGATTTCATCGCATTGCAAACCAATATTAGCAATTCTTATATATATTCGCGCATTCCCATCTGAACAGCGTGGAAAAGATTATACCCATCTACACACTTTAAGAACTATGTCAGATGAGCGTCATATTATCGAATATCAGTAAAGGAATAGTGCAATGGGAAAAGACATATAAGGCGGAACTTTCAGTAGTATGCAATTAAATAATCTTATTGTAGAATATATATTTAAAAACATTTCGTCACGCCAACTGCAGTCCGAAACTTTTTTTGGGTCTGGCTGAGCTTTGATACCAATTGGCACTCATGTTAACTGGTAAGACTGTAGGAGGCACGCGATGTAGCAGATACTAAGAGTATCCATCTCCCAGCTGTCATTTGAGTGGGTACTGCTTTTTTATTGCACATGTTACTGATCTTTTTGTCTTAAAGATTTACTGGCATCACCGATTTAAGGATGTTGAAAACCAACACGCAACATTACAAAACTTACTTTCAACTAGCGGTTTGAATGAATGAAAAAGCTGAAACTATAGTATTCTTTAGAACAGCATACAAATTCTATGGAATGAAATCATACACAAAAGTTCGTCAAAAACCTATAGCTCAATAATCAAGTGAAATTTGAGGCATGTGCGCAAAAATGTGCGTGTTACTATACGTACAACCGAAACACGCAGAAAACTGTGTGTGATGTACTAATATTCAAAACGTTTGACTCAACTATGTTGGCATAACATGTGCACATCTCGGTTTCGCATAAGCATACCTTTCATCTCCACAAGGATATATTAATTTTGCCAAAGTCAATGCAGCACTGAAAGGTTGCGGTTCTTCCAAAATAAAACACGTTACACATCTTTAGACACAGTGGATGGTTTTACATGGCCTTGTTCGGAGTGAAAGACGAGGTCAAATATTCCAATCCAATTAATAAAATATTTCCCAAGTCCCCAAGCTTAAACTAGGAAAACGAAATGCGCGCGGCAACGCAAATTTAGTCTGAAGAGCGCAATAGAAAGTGGCTAGATGCTGTCGATGGATCGTGGCTTGTATTAGTGAAATAAACTACCATTTATTTTACTAAAATTGAATTTCTCACATTGTAAGGAGATTCAATGTTACTATGTATGCAAAACTAAACCATGTAGTTATGAAATAATTGTTTTTAACAAAACGGCACTCTTGAAGTATTCGTACCAAGATGGCGCACAACCTGAACATCGTATGTTTACCAGGTAAGGTTCAGGATGTGCGTCATCTTGGACCGAATACTTCAAATCCACTTAAAAAAAATTGCTCAACATTATATACTCCACACTCACCTGGGTATCATTATATATGTCATATACATTATATCTAAACAATAAAAAAACTTTATGTCCCAAAACAATGTTGAGGCCTGATTCTGCCGGACTATTCTGCTGAATAGCATTGCTTTGCATTTTGTAACAGATAGAGCCATTCCCCATATTTCGCACCACTCATTTATTTTGTCCAAATTTATTTGCATTGTTCTTTCTAGGGATTTCACATCTCTTCCGGTTTTATATATAGCAAAATCGTCTGCAAATTGGCCTGAGTTTGCATTATTTACAAATGATGGAAGATCATTCACCATTATATTGAATAAAACAGGAGATAAGCATGAACCTTGAGGCAATCCGCGTATGGTGTGGTGAGTTTGCGATATTTTTGCGATATATTTATATGCATTTATATTTGCGATGGATTTATTATCTGGTTCTAATTTTGACAGCCAAATTCTAGTATGAAAATATTTATGTCATGTTCGGGGTATTTATTGAGGGACCCATGAAAATTCAGTTATCTTACTTACCCCAATCAAGATCGAATAATGAAACAAATCTTATTTTACACGGAAGCAATGTCACCTATGGTTTGTTTCTATAATCGCTTGAGTCTAGCGCAGTTAGAACTTGTATTGATGTCATTCACAAACTTCAGCTACGTCATCAACTTGATGTATGACATATTGCCCTATATATAAACAAATCACGTACTATGAGGCAATTTTCGTTTTTGTTTGAGTGAATGTTCAAATGATCTTAACTTTTATGAACATATCATTATCAGAAAATTACGTGTTTTAGCTCGTAGTCACAACCCCCCGAAAGCATGAGAAATACGAGAGAGGACCAGAAAAATCTAGTAACACACAAACAACTTATTAAAGCTCCTCATCAAATTCACTACTGAGTGAATATCAGTTCATAATCAGTTGAGTTATTGAGCTAATATTCGTTGAGATAAACTGAGAAGGTAGAGACGACGATCTAACCCAGAGATTATCAAGCTTGCGCCCGCAAACCACACTCTCGGACCACTAGTAATCTTCCTTACTAGGTAATATTCGTGAATATTACATTCATTTAGGGTGAATATACTGTGATTTGTTCAATTTAATTTGACTGCAGTTCTTTTATTTTGTTTCTTTTGTTTTGCTAGTTGATTATTGAGTCTGGCGAATGAAATATCAGTTGGTAACTCATTTTCATAGTTTTTTACTGATAGAAGAGCCCGGGCAACCGTCATCACCAAACAAAACTACTGACCTCACCTATATAACCTAACCCAAGATGGTCCAAACCGCGGCCCGCAGACACATTCTGTGAGGTGAGACTCGCAGAACAATTTTGGCGTGCACTAAACCATTGGAAGAACATTTTTGAGTTATTATTAAACTATTTATACTAGGAATAGCCCTTTTTCTAATCCCCATGTCGAGATTGGAGTTTGTTAAAATCACGAAATTTCAATGCTGTAAATATAATAGTCAAGATGGTGCCAATATGGGAATGACGTCCAGTGATCGGTACAAAGAGAATGAATTGTCCTGTGCAGACAGGTCGATGAGATTAGTCGCGCTTTTCATCTAAACTTTGTGCCTGCTCCCGTCAAGTAACTCCTCATTTTGAGAGACATTTTGTGCTTTATATTAGTGAAAACACTAATCTATTTTCAAGCGTTGACCATGTGACAGCAGTGACGAACAGAGCTGACTTAGCGCCCCGCGATCCATTTTTTTTAGCTGGGTCTTGAGTCCTAACTTAGACGGTCTTGATTGTTCTTTGACGATAGCCCCAGGCTTGCTCACGCTACCAGGAAGAATCGTATTCCTTTACCCACAACAACGTTGAACCACAGTGTCTGGTATGATTTCAATTAATATCTGTTACGAAAGAATGTAATTGTAAGCGACATTACAAAACCAAACACGAGAAAAGATACCAAAATACACGATATTTGACGGAAAACAATTTCAAAATACCTAAAAGCTTTATATATTTTCCGCTAAAAAATGATCAGAACCGTAAACGCTAATTATCAAATATATTCAAAGTGAGTCAACTCGCACTGTTTTGATCACTTTTGGGTTTTCTCCGACTGCGCCCGCGAGACATCCTCAAAAGTTTTTGCTGCTCGCCAACCTCGTAACGTTGGACCACCCTGACTCAACCTATTCATGCATCTAAAATAAACAGGATCAATCGATCTCAGTGGCGGTTTGTTCCAGCTGAAAGTTTAAAATATAGATATGTACAAATCAGTAGAGCAGCAGATTTATTCGAAGTCTGTTTGAAAAGAACGAGTAAATGTAACATCGTACGCATTATCAACGCTTTGATTGAAGCCTTGTTACCAAGTATCGGTGATTGATGTTAAAAGCCATGTTCGAAAAAATTGTGTAAAATTTACTTGTCATGTTTAAAGCCTCATTTAAAGTGGAAGTCTGAAAATAACACCAGATTCTTGTTTCAAGTTAAAAAATAAAAAGAGAAGATTAATCAGTAGGTATAGATGCAAAGTAGAGAAAATAAGAGTTGCCAGAGTCGTCATTAGAGTAATGAGCCAAAGTCGTTTACAAACATACCAGTGTCATCAAACAGATTCGAAAATCACAAATATTCAGAGCAAGCAAATTCATTATCTCTGATTGCATCAATACTTCCTCTGTATCGTATTTGTTTTTATCTTCTATTGCTTACTTTTACAACAGGTCTCGTTTTATGGTGCTTTTCTCTTCTTAGCAAAATTCAATACGAGTAGTAGTAGTATTCTGTTCAATTCAATAGTTAAATAAAAAAAAGCGAAAAACATTCTTTATCAATTTATATCTTATGTCTATGTATGGAGCGGATATAATTCTAAACAATCTATTAGATAGAACGGTGCTCCCGAAGTATGTGCTCCAAGATGGCGCACAATCTGAACATAGTACTGGTGATCAGGTTGCGCGCCATCTCGATGTACATTCTTCTGGAGCGCGGTTAGAGCATATATATTGGTCTTGTTAAAAATTAGTGTTTGAAAAAGTTATAGTTGATTGGTAATATTCTGAATATACAATTTATAGACTTGTAATTTAAAAGAGAGTATGATGATCAGTGAATTAATATTTTCAAACAAATGACTTTTGATTGTATGATATGATAAGAATTATGTATCAAATACACTGGCAAAACACATGCCAAAATTTGAGAGAAAAAAATACTAAATAATAAATTATGGACCAATTCAGTTGAATTTGTGAAATTGTTTCAATCTAGACCTGAGTTTGAGAAAAACAGAACAAAAGTTGAGAGACAAAAATAAAATAGTTGAAAGTCGACTTTTGAACCAATGCTTTTGCATCAAAGTAATCCGCATGCTGCTATGGATACTGCCTATGAAGTTTAAATTTATGTAGTAAATGTAGAGTTAGAATGTTTTGTTGTATAACTAAAGTGTTCACCTGTATCCTGACACGTCCAGAATTTCGTATCGCAAAATTTCCCAGAGTCACAATCATAGTCTCTTTCGCATTCTGAGTAAAATACGAATTAAAAATACATGGTAACTGTATTGTGCTTAAGATGGAAATGTGACAATATAACTTGGGAACAATTTCAGTGAAAGACCGAATGAGTTGACTTGGCAAAACCATGCCGAAACACATGTCAAAATTTGAGAGACAATAGTAAACAACAAATTCATGAACAATATTGATAGTAATAACATTCATCGTCGCCAATACAGCTTGTGTAAAAGTCAAATTAGACATATTCCGTTATACTTAGACATTCGCAACAATTTGGAAAGATAAGTCTCGGCCGTGCAGAAAAATGGGCGATTGATAGTTTCAGTTATGTATAAATGGTATTATACTAAATATACAATTACTGGATCTTTAATTTAATTGAATTTTATTTATGATCTTTAGTATCTTCCAATTTTCATGCAAATTGTTTTGATTGTATGATATGATATAAATTGAATCCAAAACAACTCGAAAACGTATTTGAAACTTCAATGAAACATAAATTGACGTGAAAATGTCAAATACAAGTTTGACACGTGGTTTTTCACAAATGAGTGATTTCTGGAGAGAAATTTTGAAACTGAGTTCGAGTTTAGTGTTAGGCTTGAAATCTTAATTAAAGAGTTATTTGCATACTGCTATGAAGAAATTAATCTCTCTTTGCATAATATTATTAATCTACCTTTTTGCTCACACACCCCTGAACTCGTGCATCTTTCAAAGGAATAGCATTCATCGTCTTTTTTACATTCTGTGTGAAATACAAATTAGAAATAGATTGTAACTAAGACTTTCGCACCAATCTGGTAATACAAATAACGATCATTAATAAGCAAAACAGGTGATCGATACTTTGATTTCTAAATGATTTAGATTGTGCTGAATATACTTTTCTTTCAAGACTGAACGAAGTGAATTTGTCGAATATGACGCACTTTCATCACACATGAGTGATTTCTTGCAATGAAGCAAAGTTTGGACTGGGTGTTAAATTTGATAGGTCGAATCCGGGATTATGTTTGAAAAATGCATTTGGAATTGAAAAACAAGTGCGGGAAACGGCAATAAATTTGTTGATAATTGATTTTTTGTACATATTCTATTGCATAAAATTGATCAGCATGCTGCTATGGTTATATACGCGCTAAATTCAATATGGAGATGGGTTGTTTGGATAAACTGAGGGCCGATAGTAATTGCAAAAATTGAAAGCTTTGTTGCATAATCATAAAAATTTACCCCTTTCTCGACAAGACAAATTAGAATATATTGTAAATGAGACTTTCATAGCAATCTGGCAAGACAAATAAGGCTCATGCAAAAAAGATTGTGATCGATAGTTTATGTTATATCTGATTGATATTATACTGAATATGCAATTACTGGATTCCAAATTATAACAGGAGTATGATGTTTAATAACTTTGTGTTTTTAGACAAATGTTTTGTTGAATGATATCGATCAAAAGCGGAGTTGTCAATGCGCATTTGAGGCGTTCTAAATGCTTCTTTTGAACTTTAAATGACTGACGGTAAAGGTAGAAATCTTAAGAAAGACTGAACGAAGAAAAGTTATCTTATACGACAGTTAGAATTGAATTTACATATTTATCCCGGGAGGATGAAAGCCAATAAGACGGCTTAACCATATGGCTAACCACGGCCTCTCGTCCGGTTACCATTCCAAGTTGGGTATGGTATTAGTTAGTTATTTCTTTTCAGAAGCATGGGCCTGATGGTGGGGGAAGCCGTAACCGACCAGTGGTCACGTGAACCACCCTACGGCAGCGAGAAGTCCAGAAATCCTCTCGCACATTACCATTCCCGCATGGGATTCGAACCTGCGAGTAATCAGAGACGCGGTGGCGAGCGTAATCCCAAGCGCGATGAGCCACACTGCCGCCGCGCTACTCGTGTTTCTTGAGAAATGAACAATTTCTGACATAATATAATACAGTATTGTTTCAGAGTATGGTTCGACTGTTGAAATTGTAAAATTGTTGGGCCAAAGTTTGAAGAAAAATTATAATAAAACAGAACAAAAGTTGGGAGACAAAATTAACTTGTTGAAAGTTGAGTTTTAAACGAATATTGTTGCAGATAAGTGATCTGCATGCTGCCACAGACACTTCATATAGATCTTGAATGAATGTAGTAAATGTAGAAATTGAAGGTTTTGATGCATAACATTAGTATTCACTTTTAACCACACAAATCCAGTAACTACTATCGCAAAATTGATAAGAATAACATTCATCGTCTCCTTTGCATTCTGCGAAAAATACAAATTAGAATTACATCACAACGTTATTGTGCGCAATATTATATAGGATATTTCATTTGAATGGAAGTAAAATGTTTAATAACTTTTTATTTTCATAACTTTTCATTTTCAGTGAAATGCTTTTTGTTATAGGATATGATTTAATTTAGGTCAAGACAACATGAGAACAAAATCAAAATATTGGTTAATGAACCAATTCTATTTCCTGAGAATTATCCGCATGCTTCTATGTGGATAAATGAAATGAAATCAGAATTAAGTTTTGTTGTCTGAACTAACTGATGGCAATTGTAGAAATTTGCATAATATATCATATATTTGCATAATATCATATAATACCTTTATCTAAACACATCTTTGTCTCTTTATCGCAGTATTGATGATTATTACATTCATTGTCTCGAGTACAGCCTGTGTGAAAGACAAACTAGAAATATACTATAACTGAGAAGTTGACAACAATTTGGTATAACAAATACCGGTTAGGTAGAAAAACTGGTGATCGATAGTTTAAGTTATATCTGATTGGTTTAATTCAAAATATTCATTTATTGTATTATTGATTCCAATGTGAGCATAATGTTCCAAAACTTTCTATTTTCAGACAATTGCTTTTTTGTTGTATGATATGTCCCATTTTAGGCCACGAAAACTCGACAACTCGACAATATTCCCCTGCAAGACCAATGGAAATAAAAATTTTCAGTAGGAAATTTTGAGACGTGTTCCTCAAATGTCACACATGTGTAACCTGAGCTCAGGTTGTGCGCCATCTTGGTGCGCATACTTCAGAAGGTCCGAAAACTCTTATGAAGCGCTTTACGAAAACGAATAATCAGGTGGATATAAAAAGAGAAATAACTTCAATGAATGGGAAAAAATTTAAAAAACCACATGCAAGAAAACATTTTGGAATTAACCTGATAAAATACCGGCCCCGATAAAAATGTAGGCCTCGACGTATTAATTTCGGTTATTCTAATCTTCAAGTATCTACCTACTAAAGTAAGATGATGTTCTTTGCCTGACGCATCGAGTAAATATAACCTTCCTTACATGTTTGTTCAATAAAATATACTCATTGAGTAAATAGGAAATGGCTCGTTAGCAAAACAAATTGTCAGGAAAATAGAAATTCGAAGAAAGTTTGCGGCAAAGACTTATAGACATTATATATAAGCGGTGTTTGTTAATATTTGAAATTGCTTCTGGGAAATTTTATTCTGTTTTGCTGGTGGCTAACTGAGACAATGGTTGTGAAAAGTAAAAGATGAGAACGTATTTCACACCTAATTTCTCAAAATGATTGTAATTTACCGAGATTTTTGCAAAACTTCAAAACCTATGTTACAATCTAATCTATGTTACAAAATATGAAAAGATTATGGCTCTTTTTCCCAACCTTTTTTTTCAGAATGTTTTTGGTAAATATTCCGAAATACACCATGAGGACATGCATCAAAAGTGTTTGTAAATTGTTGTCATTCATTGTAACTATCGCAATGTTAAAACGCTATTAGTGACCCGATATAGTCTTATATATTAGAATGTTTTCTAGTCAGCAATAGTGCTTTGAAGCTTTTTATGCAAAAGTTTAGATCATTGTTGAAACTCTAAAAATTTGCGAAATACCAAAAATATTTCATAACATTTTGAAGCAGGTCAATCAGAGCGAATTCCAGGTATACTCAACACTTAATTTATGTTTCAATAATACTGAATTTTCAATTGTTCCGGGAAAGCTCTGTCGCGGGAAAATTATATTTGTAAAAATATAAATTTAGTGTAAAAAACTTTTTGAAACGTTTTCATATTTTATTCTGTTATATCAATATTTCTTACCAGCTTGCTGGCAGGATTGGTCGATGTTTTCTGAAAACATATTATGCTATTAACAAACACCGATACATTTCTGAGAAAAACTCATACATAGTGTTCTCGTATAGCGTATTTACAAATATTTAAGGAAAACGTTCTGCGAATTTTCTATTCCATGTCAATTGTTCGCGCTAGCTATCCATTTTTTATCACACAAATATTGCAAAACATTATGATTGTTCTATTATATTGTGAAGTATTTGTTAAAAATTTCTGAGAATTTTTATTTTTTTCTTGTATCTTCAACCATTGAACCTTCTCGTTAGCCGACGATGAGGTTTTGCAAAAACAGCTTAAAAATTATGATTGACCAAAAAAAATAAGGCAGCTATGGAGTTTTGGAAAAAAAATCTGCATTGGGATGCTTCTAAAACTAATATACCCTTCCGCTTTTTATTCTCCTGAATCTGACAAAGTTTTGCATAAACTGCTTTAAATTACAATTATGTTGGAAAATAATTTATTTGTAAATATTTTCGAAAGACTCTCTTAGGTGATTCGACTATACTTGGCGGGTCATATGAACGGTATATTTCTTTGAACATCAGTTACTTTAGGAAATACGGAAAAGGATGTTAATAACAAAAATTATTTAAATATTGGTTTTGCTAAAAATTTTACTTTTATTATTTTGCGAGGCGATATTTCTCCAAATTACCTATCATATATATCTCAATGTGGGTAACAGCCTGCCATATAAGATGTAATACAGTCCGTGTATTGGACACAAGAAAACTCTCCAGTTATTTTTAATAGAATGAATTATTTTTTAAACAATGAAGGTTAAAAAAAATAATCGGTTCGATGGTTTTGGAATCGATCACCGCAGATAACATTTAAAAAAATATATAACATCTAATTTATTTGCCAAAGCAATTGTAGTTTTTTTGAAAAAAACCGAAAAACCGATATCCATTTACTTATAAATAACACGTTTTAATACATAGAATATTAATCATTTAAAAAGTGTAGGATAGATTTCTTGCTATCGACTAGGTAAAAAAATTCGCGTTATTGACTAGGTCTTATTTTAAGGGGAGGGTTTATATTAACATCCTTTTTGAAATTCAGGCTAGGTCTATTTTTCGGGGAAACACGGTATACAAATTGTCGGACCCGTATGGTAATTTTCAAAACTCCTAATCTTGTTTGCATGTCTGCACCACTGTATACCGGTATCCGACTATTGGCTCTGACATCGTTTATGATATAATAATGCAATTGATATGTTCATTCCCTCCAAACTTCTTGGAACCGTAAAATAAATTGCCCCATCAACCCAAACGTTTTTGATAATTCATATGCGTGTTTTCGTACTTTAATTTAATAAAATCGAGTTTCATAATAAGTCCCTGATAAAAGTAAAGTTCAAAACTAGACCAACAACAAGAGAAGTTACAAGATTTGTTTCAGAAGTTTCTTATAGATACAAACATCAAATATCTGTGACCCACTCTCTTCTGTTCCGCGCTAAAAATATAGTTTTTGACCCACTCAATGAAAAAGGTTTGCCATCCCTGTTCTATAATATTGTAAAGTATTTGCTAAAACTTTCGGAGAATATCTATTTCTTCAATCATTGAATCTCTCGTTAGACGTACGATGAGGTTATGCAAAAATAGCTTAAAATTATGA